TACGTCCCTTTTGTACGAAACGTAGTCAATAAATGAATCTATCTATCTATCTATGCGGATAGCAAAGTATTGGTTATTTATTAATTATTTTTTGTAAATAAATATGTTGTCCGTATTAGAATAATCACTTATCATTACCACCTTGGTAGTAAGTAGGTGCAATTGAAGCGTACACTGCATGCCAAATAAAACGATCCATTATACGATCTAGAAACCCATAGGGGATACGAAAAAAAGTTTCGTCAAAATGGTGGCGCGCCTATCGTGAAGTCCCGATTTTACACCGGTGGACTTTTATTTGTGGGACACGTTAAAGGATCGTGCGTATAAATCGCGAAATAGCCCCATACAGTTGACGACTTTAAGGAAAAAATTAGACAAGAGACTGTTGCATTAAATAATAGCGATGCGGTTAGAAATGCTTTCTTCAGCATTATGAAGCGCTATACAATAGGTCTTGCAGAGGATGGACAATATATTGCAAATATATTACACTAGCACCATATTTAAGTTTTTTTTTTTAGTTATTTGTTTCCGTTTTTTTTTGTTTTATAGATTTATTTATTCAAATTTGTTACTTTGTTTAGTTAGCATATAAACTTTAATTATTTATTTTTTTATTAGGTATTTTCAATCAAGCCAGATAATAACCATTAAATGTTTCTTTAAATATGAATTCTGAGATTTTATTAGTCTGTCAAAGTGTATAGTATAGAGTCGATCGTTAGCAATTGGTTTTATTCGTATATCTGGAGTATTACATCTTTAAAAGACGTAGTATAGTCTTTGCTATTTAAAAAATACCTAATATAGTCAACAAGTAACTTAATGTGGGCAGCTTTAAATTCAGCAAGAATTTATACGGGTGTTATCCAAAACCTCGGATATCTTTAAAAAAAAAGAAATATTTTATCCTAGAATTGATATCTGAATAAAAATATAGTGTGTTCCATTTGAAAATCTTGAGATATTGAATTTTGAATTGAATTCGGCAAAACCGCCTATTTGAGACACCCTGTATAAGCTGAGGCACATCTGTCAAACTGATTGAGTAGTGCATCATCCCCTTAGCTTGTGTTTAAATTTTAGTTGCAATATCTGGATCAGTAGCGTCACAACACAATTTTTCATAACCTAAAATTCAAAAAATATAGTATACAGGGTGTTGAAACAATAAAGTTGATGTCGGGGGGAGACTTTTGGGGGAAATTATAATATTTTAAATTTTCAGGAGAGTCCAAGAAACTTTGGTACGAAACTTTTTTTCTTATCTCCTAATTTGGCACACAGTGTACATTAACTTAGCGGACCAATAAGCAGCCATTCCTTCAATTTTATTTTATTTTTGTAATACCCCTTTAATTTTCCGACCGGTTTTCCGCTATCTTGGCACTTAATATCGAGCACCTTTTTACTGATATGCAAACACTATCTAAGCTTTTAGCAAAAAGATAATCTCGAGGCCATCGAAATTATGATAAGGGTCGATTAGTCTTGTCCTGCGTTTTTCGCCAATATGACGTGAAGCGTTAGCGACTTAGCTTAATAAAGCATGTATTTAGTGTGGGTGCCGGTCATTGGAACCACGCTCGTGTTGGGTCTAACCGTGTTTACCAGGTAAGTTTACCGTATTTGCTTCTTATTCCGTCATCACGATTAGTGGTGGACTGCTTGAAATGGATTGGAAAAATTCCAATCCGTGCGATTTTTAAAAAAAAGTACGTCGTATGTACTTAACTAAAAACACTTCAATAATTATGATTCAGGAATTGATTGAAGTTGTGATTATTTCGATTTGGATAAAAGTCGGTTACAAAATACAAAAATTAACATATATTTCAAAGTTTTTTGTGCAATCTCTTTTCAAGAAAAACGCGATTAAAACAATTAGTGACTTAGTCTCAAAACAATATCAACATTTAAGTAAAGTCTCCGATCTACATTTTCTTTACAATAATATTGGTGATGTCACTGGATTTAATAATTTCAACCAATTGGGGGCTACTTATTACCCAAAAAAACGGCAAAAAAATGTTTAAAAAAGAAACGTTGACCCGGTACCTTGAAAACCAGACATACTGGAACGAGCTGTTTACATAACATTGGCCAACGAATTTAAATGATTATTAAAATAATTGAACATCAGCCTTAAAATTTAGTATTTTCAACAATTTACTGGGTTTTTAAATTTAAAAAAGTAAATTGCGATTTATGATTGACCTTTTTTTAATGATTAATTAACAAAACAAAAGATAATATTCCAAAACCAGTAAAATTGAAAAAAACTACGACGACAAGATATCAGACAAATGAGGTACTGAGGATCGCGAAAACCTGCGATTCTACTTTTACTAATAACAAAGATCCCCTGCAATTGCAATTAGAACGGGACATTTTGGGACTTCCGCGTTATTTTTTAGGAGCTTTGCAATTTTTTTGTAAAGTGAAAGATCTCAGAGCCAAGTTTCCACAGCCCGCTTAGTTTTTGGCACTTTATATACTAAAACGCAAATAAATCACAATTTTCCAAATGCCAATGTATAATTAAATATTAGGAGTTGATTGAGAATAATTAAACAGCAACTTATCGAAATTGAACGCAAAATTGGATGTCTATTGAAATATGGAATTTTTATAATATAAAAATAGAAATAAGTAGGACTTATACCTATTTATTACTTTCATAACATTCTATAATTGCATTCAGAGTTCACATAGATTTTTAAGTAATGTTATTTTTATCAGCTTGTTAGTTTGGAACTTTATGTTTTTAAATTATACTGTTGCCTAAGTTGCTGAAATGTTACTGAAAAAGAGAGCATAATTTCATATATTTTTTAAAGGGTTAAGATAAAACTGTGATTCTCTGAGTTTGTTAAAAAAAACCAAGTTAGGTTAACCACTCCAAAATTGAAAATTAAAAAAATTTCGATGTTAATGATATTTCATAAATTTTCCACATTTTTTATGCTGTTTTTTTTCTGAATTTATAATCCGATTTTAATGATCGTTGACAATATCGTAGTTTTCGCTGATAATGATAAAAAGTTCATTTTCGATGTATACCGGGTGTAATAAAAATGTTATGTGTTTTTCCGAAAAATCGTATCAATCTGTCGAGTATACAAGCAATCGAAACATATACCAGTTGACATTTGAACGTGGCTCCATCTTTCGTCAACATTTTCTTTTTTAGTTTACTTCATTATCCCTGTTATTAAAGGGGATACACCGTTTAATAGCGTAACATATTGTTATAGATTTTATGATTCAATACTTTCATTGTTACTTGTTTTTAATGTATAGGCTATCGAATTTTTCCAACATTTCAAACGATGTATCGATATCGAATACATTATTTCCAGCTGTATAATTTCTGCTCGCTTTGATAAATGAAATCAAAATTAACGAGTTACTAAGTAATTATAATATTAGGATTTTATGTGAGTTTAGACAATTTTTTTCGGAAACAAGTGAAACTGGAAACACGAAATGAAAAAAGTAAATAAAAACAATAAAATTAATGGTTATTATAACGTTAATAACGTATATACCCATCTCTACTTCGAATCACTGCATTCTTAAGCCTCAGCATACAGGAAATAAAATTTTTAATTGTGTCTTCTCCCATTCTGCAATGTGGTTAACCGGTAAGGGATTAGAACTTCGAAGCATTCTTTTTAGAGCACCCCATAGATACTCTATGTGATATAAATCGTGATTGTAACGGGGCCAGTTCATCAGTGGAATAACTACAGATTTTGTGAAGTCTATAACTTGTTTAGCCACGTAGGGACGAACATTATCTTGCATAAATGAACTACTCAGTCCCAAAAAAGGAACAAATGGTATCACATGTTCAATTACAATGTTTTTAAGATAATAATAGATGATAACCTTTAATAAGCAGTTTCCGAACAGCTCTCATCAGTATGGCGAACTTTATTTGACCTTTGTAAATTTAAAATACAACATGCGTTGACAAATGGCTTGAAATGTCGGAAAAATTCCAGAGCCTACTTAAAAAAATTTAACAATGAATGTGCCGAACAATAAAGTCTATAAAAACATGTTACACTATAAAACGGTGTATCTTCTTGAATAACAGAGATATGAAGTAAAACAAAAAAGAAAATGTTGGCGAAAGGTCAAGTGATATATATTTCGGTTGCTGGTATACTCCACAGGGTGATAGAAATTTTCGAAAAAACATTTGTATTACACCCGGTATAAATCGAAAATGGACTTTTTGCCATTATCAACGAAAACTATGACATTTTCACGGAACCCACTTACAATGCAAAAAAATTATTCAAATCTCATCATAAACTCAGAAAAATAGATGAGGTTTCGTTAATTTTGTCCGGGAGTTTTGAACCCAACAAGTTCGTGGTAATCCAATACCTAGGACAAAGCGAGTTAGGAAAGAAGAATCATACTGTTTATTTTAATCCAGATTTGACTACAAAAATAATACAAATTTTTAATAAAATTAGTTGGTCTCCATTAAATAAGTAGTTTTGGTTAGTTGACTAAACTTAATTTTTAATGAAAACATTTGGCATTTTCAGAAAATGACTATTTTTTGCGATTATGTCTAGTAGAAAGGTAGGTGGTCAGTTTATCAATATAGTTAATATAATAACATTTTCTAAAACCTGATTTTGAAAAATCAAGACGCAAGATGCTACCTGGCATCCATTTCTTGAACTAAACGAAAACTAAAATAATTACCAGCATTTTCTCATTGCCCGACCTATTTAATAAACATTGTTTTTATTTGTTTGGGCCACCCGACACCCGAACAAATTTTGAAGTCTATAATCATCAACATTAAAAAAAAACATTGCACACCTCAACAGGAGAACGTCTTCTTGCAGAATGCGAACGCACCACGAAATACACGATGCGGAACTGCGATATCTCCGCGCCGTTGCAAAAGAAAGGCGAGCAAAGAAGAGCAAGGCCGGAATAAGACCAATCCCCGACGGACATCTTACCTAGTATCGCTCTGAGGTGTCCTTCCAGTGTTTGCAAAATCGTGCTTTTGATTTCCTTGATCGGTTTGCCGAGAAACTGTTCGCTGGCGGTATGCAGCAGTTCGTCGGCCTTCATTATCTTGCACTGCGCTACACCCGTGACGGATAGCGGCACCCCTTGGGCCGTCTCGACGCTCTCGCACTGCGGGTTCAGCGTCATCACCTCCAGCGAGAGTTTCTGCACGTCCGTGACAAACCACCACGCCCACGACCAACCGCCGACGGTCGTCACGCGTTTCGTCGAACCGCAACATCCGCCTGGAAGCAAAATTATAAGTTAATTTTCAAAAGAATAAAAATTTTCCACCAAATAGGCGTCTTACTCTTCTTATTTTCAAAACCGATGGAGAAAGTGCAAAAAACAATTTTTAACTGGTCTAAGGAACCTTATGCAGCAATAGTCTAGTGAAAGTGTGATACTCGGAGTATACAAAACCTTTTCCATATGATTTACTTTGATCTTCTGGGATTCAAGAGGCGACTTGGCTAGTCCCTAGTGCAAATTGCATCGAAAAAAAGTAACAACTTTGACTTTTTATAATTTTTATTTTCATAATCACTTCTCCTATTTCCTCGACTTTTGGGATATTAATTATTTTCCATATTTTTGAGTTGAAAATAAAAACATTATATCCAAGAGATCCGACAAGCCCGTAATATTTCCCATTTCCAATCCCCAGTTAGGCACTTTATTATGTTGCATAAAATTTTTGACCTCAAGGAGACGTTGTCTACTCTAGAATTTTAGTGATTTTGAGAGGAGTGTTCTGTTTCTAAACATAACCAGTTAATCAAAATGACTTTGTGCTGTTTAGTGTGTGAAACACCCATGGTGGTATAAACTGAAAGCTTTGATATTTCTAAGACTAGAACGTGTTTGGGTAAACCTATATAACTGCTAGAGATAGAAAGGAAGCTTTGAGGATGTTTTTGAGGTCATTCAGATCGTTAATAAGTTTAAAATACCATTAAACTTTCAAGCAAAGAAGAAGAATTAACTGTACGGATATCGCTGTTTAGAAAGAAAATTTTGTGTTGGTACAGTTTAATGGTTAAAAGGTGAAGGCATCCACTTAAGGTCATTCCACCTGAGGCGCATCAATTTTTACCGTAGTATATCTAATAGCTATATGGCTAAACCAAATCATCATCCAACCATTCTATGGTAGCAAGCATGGGAACGAAATCATTTATAAAAAATGTTAATTCATATTGGCTTTATGAATGAATTTTTGTGTCTCGTTTGGATATAATGTCTTGAAACAAACCCCAATTAAAAGTCTTATTACTGAGGAACGTCAAAATTTAGAAAACCGAAATGTTAGCTGCAAATTTGCCAGTATCCTGGGTCATAGTTTCCTGCTGAAGATTAATGCCTTTTGTAACGTGATAGGGTATGGTCTGTTCATAGATATAAGAAAGTGACCAATTGCTTTTGAACAGATTATCCAAAGGCTGTTATTAACATACAATGCAACAAGATTATTATTATTAATTAAGGTAATTATTAATTAATTAAATATTAATAGTAATAATCTTGTTGCATTGTATGTTAATGACCACCCGTTCAAAAGCAATTGGTCACTTTCTTATATCTATGAACAGGCCATACAAAATTATTTTTTCATCATTTTCAAATTCCTTATTACGAAATATTCTGACACATAATTAAAATGACAGTGTTTTCGAAATAAAGACAGTTTCATAAGAAAATCTAATTATTTTGACGTGTTTATAAGGGTAAGGAGGGTAAGGTAGTCATGAAATCGCATTAACAATTGATAATATTTATTCCATTGAGAAATAAGTGATTTAATAAAAAGATTTAAAAAGTGAAGAAAAAGAAAGAGGTGAAGCCGTGTACGGATAAAATGTGGGAACTTTTAAAAGACTTTTTAAAATATTTATTTGTGTTGTAAATTTTTCTTAAATAAATGTATTATGCACTGTCTACCTTACACTTACAAATATGTAAAAAAAATAGACTTAGTCATTAAACTGCTTCTACTTAGAAAACCTTCCATTGTCATGTTCAAAACCGGTAAAATCATGATCGTACAAGTTTTTACTCTACATGGAATTAGTACCTACGATATACCCATAAAATTAAAATTGGTGTCTCTTTTAGCTCCAAATATGGAAAATAATTAAAATCTCGAAAATCGGTATAGGAAATATTTTACAAAAATGATTAGAAAGTGACAGCGGTGAGAAAATTTGAACATTATACGGGATATGTATTTAAAAAATCAAAGTTTTCGCTACTTTTCGATACAAGCGGCAACACTGCGATATTTAAAATTTTAGATCGACAGGCGAAAAACAAAAACCTATGTGACCCAAATTTTCAGCAAGTTGCTAAGTCCCGTTGCGACACCCTATATAATATACAAAAATATTATAATTTTTTTTTCAATACGTCTTTACATTGATTATTTCAACTTACATTTTGAAATAAAGATACTTTTTTTATTGTTATTAAAATACAAGAATTTCAAAAAGACCCAGTAGATTTTGAAAAAAGGGCTTGGAAAATACCGCAAAAACAAAAATAAAAAGTGAGATAGCCAACTCCATCTGCATATCATTTCCTATGTTTAAACAACTGTCACTGTGTGTTGGGTGATGCAAAGAATGCGCCCAACATGCACAGTTTCTGACCTATGCGGCTTACTCCAGTGACCCAGCATAAAGAAACCTCAAGAACTTTATTATAAATTAAAGTAGTAAATCCAGTTTTATAGTCAGCCGTACGATGAAATATTTTTCCCATGACAGTCGTAAAACATTTACTTTATACTCTAGGACGGGGTTTTCCTGACGACGAGCACAAATTTTAACGCGTTTGATTTATTTTCATCATCACTTGGTAGCGGCCGTAAACCGCATCGAAGAAAACCGCGCGGGCAATAATAAATGCCAGGCTCACGTCTAACCTAAAATTGGCGCCGATTTCCTTCTCGTCTAGAAGAAAGTGGGGCCCTCGCGTGACTCCAGTCACGTATGTACGCGAAGCAACTGTTAACCTTTTTTTTTCTATTGACGGGCCGTAGGGTATCGAATCGGCGATGTAGCTCTAAAGAGATGCTTCCACGTAAGCTCTAAATGATCGGACACGTTGTTGATGAGTTTTTAAAAAAAAATTTGAGTGCTATACGATACTTTTCAAAAGTAAACCGTCGAATAATGACGAACGGAAGCAGGTGAAAGTATCGATCTTGATCTACAAACTCGCAATACATTGCGTGTGCTATGCTATTCCAATTTTCATGAAGCAATCATCACTATCATTTATATAACTCGGGGGACCTTATTTAAAAGGTTTTTTTTTATCTGAAAGAAATATTTCCTTCCGTTCGAATATTTAGTACCTATTTTCATTGAACTTGACTCTGAGCCGGTGATTATATTTTTCCCTGCAAAAACTGGAATGTTTCGCTTTTCACACCATTGCCATATTTCTCTACATTTATTGAACACTACCCATCCTATTGATACAAGACATAGACGTAGTGTTATCAATTCCAAATAAAACACTGGAATTATTAAATTTTTTAGAAAACGATTTCCGCAAAGTTGGTTGCTGAACTCAAGGTAACTTATATGGAAATTCTAATGATTAGAATTCCCTGCGGTTTTTCCTAATGCGGCATATCAACATCCCTTTAGAGCGCGTCAGGGAAAATTTATTTTATAAAGAGATCTTCTTTTATTTATTGTTTACTTGTTTCACATTTATTTAGCCGCCATAAAATATCAGTTTTTTACTTAATAATAAGTATAACAATTCAGTTCAAATTTACATTCTTTTTTGTAGTCGTTTTTATATATTTTTTACAAACATTTTTAATTAAGGGAACCGAAGATCTTAATTCCTTTAAATTAAAGGTAAACACAACAAGTACGGTAAACCGCATTTGACTTTGGAGTTTATTTGATACGACTGTTAGTTTTTGGGTATACTTTCGCTGACATGACCGTTAGAATTGCCAAACGTCACAATTCAAGGCATGGGAAATATCTCCGAAAACATCCGATTGCTTCCAAACCTGTACGGTAAACTCCCGGAAATGTCCGAAGTGGCTCACATCCGTGGGAAACGAAACTGAAGTGGTTAAGTGACGATTACCGCACGCTAGATCGATGTGTAATTAGGCATTTTACAGACGGGAGTAGAAACATATTTTTACTGAAATAAAACTATTAGAACTTAAAAAATATAATAATAAATAATATAATAATTAAGCAAACACAAAAGGAGCAATATTTAAGCCAAAGGGTAGAGCTTTAAATTCATATAATTGTTAATTTCAAATCACAAAAATTTTCTAAAATGTATGTATATGGAAATTGCAAAATGGGCGTTCTTTAAATGATTTTTTTCCGAAAAATCATTTTTTAATAGTAATTTCAAGACTTCAAGTCCTCTTATTTAAAAGGAAGAGCATTAACGTATTCATCGAATCTTTTTAGATTTAAAATGAACCTGTAAAAACGTTAAAAAATGTTAAAATTAATACGTTGAAAAGAATTCATGGTCAAAATGGGTACAACACTGTTCTATGGCACCTATTTTTTATAATTTATTTATTACAGAACAATATAAATTTAAGACTCTTTTAACTCTAACTATAGATTTCAAAAATGTTTATTCTTTTTTTTTGTAAGCAAAAAGGAATCAATGAAAAATTAATAAATTAAACCTTTTAATTAGGTTTTAGATTTTCGTTTAATCTATCGCCAGTCATAGTGGTACATAATTATATGTGATTGTGAAAGAATGAATAAGGAGTTTTGTGATATAGTGTAGGAATAAATTGTATTCACCGTCCACGTCCTAACGCTTACGATTAAAATGTACGACACGACATTCCGCCAACAAATGGATGGAAAGGGAATCCCGGCAATGGTGGAGAAACATACTAGGCCAATCCAGATTCTATCAAGGAAAGGAGGAAACAACCACACACGTGCTATGAAAATATGAAGGGCTATGGAAATTGCGTTTTTATCTACTGGCGCAATCAAACAAGAGGTAACGAGTTATACCAAAGAGCGACTATCGATGCTATGGAATCGAATCAGAGAGACGAGTCTAGATAAGGTTATAGATCTTTCGATATCACGATATCAATACGCTGTCGTCATTGTGCTAGGAAAATAACTTTCTGCTTGATATTTTCCTTTTGAATTTCAATTGATTTGGGTTCGAACTTCAGCCTCTGTATTGTACTTATACAAGCTGTCCTATAATTAATAGTAAAATTGCAGATTCTTTTGGTAAACCTCTTAATATCCAAAGCGAATTCGACTGCCAAGTATGCAAAATTTGGAAAATATTATTTTTATATTATTGTCTTCTCCAATAACTCTAAATCTGTTTAAAAAACAAATTCGGTTGACAAACACTTAGCGAAATTATTCTCAGTCAAAAAGTGATTGGGATTTCAATTAAATTAGACTAGATTGAGACAAACCTTCAACAATCTGCTCTTCAACAATTGATGCTTGATAATCCGCGAAAAGTATGCTATGTAGGCATAGTTGTCTTCCACACGAATTTCCCATCGAGCTGCATTTTTTACTTATATTAAAGTCGCTCTCAAGTATATCCCTTGGTTTACAGCCTTTGCGGGTGGGGTTTCCGAGTTTGATAATGGCCACTGCATTTATATAAACTGTTCTCCTAAGACGAATGGTTTCTGAAGACGAACGGAATGAAATTCCTATTGTTATGCGCTTTTCTACCAGGTGAGTTGGGTCTAAAGCCACTTTGTTGTTCAAATTCGTCCCCTTTCTTACCTTAAGCATTATTTTATATAATCTTCCAGTAGATAAAGTGGTATTTAGACTTCTATAATCTTCGCTTTTATTTTTATCACCCTATTTAACAAATATCTGATTAATATGAGGAATTGGAAAGTCTTGGAGTTAAGATTCAACCAGTTGAAGCTTTATTAAATATCGTGCATATCATTTTCAACACTTTTGCGGTAGCAGGTTTTAGTGGTTCGCGAGATATATACCTGATCCTGGTGCTTTATTATTTTATATCTACATACTCGTTTTTATTCTCAATCAGTAAATTCGTGCAATAGTCTTTCCATATTGATTAAATTTATACTGTTTCCTTGTCCTTATGAAATTACTAATTACTATGATTAATATCCGAAAAACTAGTTTTATATTATATCATTATTTGGTAATTAAACAGAATCTCTCAATCAGACAACAGATCTTATTATTCAAACATCACGGACGACAAAATTAATCACACCAAAGAGCATAGTCTTTTATTTTTGAGCCACCGCGTAGAATTCAAATTAAGGTAGCTGTAAACAGGTCAGTACCGTTGGCACACGGACGCTTACGAAGAGACGGTGAAGATTTTCTTACTCATTCTTCACGCAGTAACGGTGGTTTCGAAATAGTTCGAGAACTAGACAAGTTCAGGTTCAAGATCGCGCGGGCTCGCCTCTTCTTTTTACTTTTCTTAGAGGCGGTTTAACCAGTGCATCATTTGAATTATAAGCGACAAGTTATGTGCATATCTTTAAAGAAACTTGAGTGCTACATCATGTTGAAATTGTGCGATTCGCAGTGAAAAGTTATCGGTTTCGTTGTGAAATTTACAAACCAAGGTATAATAAATTTGGATGATCTCTTTATGTGATGCTTATATACTGTGTCACCATTCTATGGGAACATTTTGAGGTTTGGTATTGACATTTACACAGGTAAAAGCGATATCGACAAATTTTACTAGAAAAAGTTATATGTAACTTATTTTGATGCGTTCCAATTTAAGGAAATAGGAATCAAACTCTCTAGAAGGGCTCTTCTTTAAACTCGCCTTACCGAATGTCAAAGAAAATCTTCAAATGAAGCTATAGAAATCGGGAAAGTTAATGTAAAGTTAATATGGTGTAAACATTTAAAAACCAAATAAAGTTTAGTTGATTTTTTTACAACTCAAAGAGGTAACCGAATTAGAAAACGTATTAATAAATTAATTAATTAATAGAAGATGATTCCAATGGTGAAACTGTATATTTGAATCAATACAACAGAATCAATAGGGTGGACTATAATAATATAATATATATAAAGTTTAGGGAAAGGCTTGTGGACAATGTTTGTGTAAATGTGTCCAATTTAATTTTTTTCTCCTATTTCTTTTTAAAATATGTAGAAAAATTGATAATAGTGTTTCACACGTTTAACTCCTTAAATCTTTTCAACTAAGCCGGAGGAGGTATCATCATGGTTGATCTGTATATCATTTAATAAAGAAAATTGGTTCGCGGCGGAAACAAATGCAAACCTGTTAAACATCATACACCCAGTTAAAGTTCAATTAATCCCCCTTTCAGTATTTGTTGGAGTATTCTGTATGTATATGCTAATGACCTCCCTTTAACGCGTTTTTACTCAAGGGATGGAGACCAAAACACTGTAGGGTTTGACATGTTCACACTCACGTATACAAATCCACACTGGATTTCGATACCGCGAAACTATTAAGCGTTTCGCCGGAATGATTAGAAAACGAGCACATTTGGAATAAATTAATTCATTTTCACTTAATCCATTCATTCACTTTTGAACTTTGTTGTTACTACATTAAAATTTCACAGCAACGAAGATAAAATAAAAGTAAAAGGGGAGGCAGATAAAATGGGTCACCCAAGAAGTTGCCTAATGCTGACTGGCTTGCTGTAGAAAACTGCTGTAGTGAAAAACTTCCAGTTTTTGGGGAAAATTTTTTCGAAAAAGTGAGGAGTTCCATTTTTTGATACATTGCGTTGCTTTGGAAATATGCCAATTTTATGAAATTTCGTAGTTTTAAAACTGAAACTAAATAATAAGAGATAATGGTCAACACCAGCGGCGTGCAAAACCAGGTTAATTGTTAAAGGTTTTATTTGAGTTTAATATTGGAGTTCAGAGGCGTTCAGTTCTAAAAAAACAATTTCTCTCACTTTTTTTAGTGTTTTCACAAATCTGATTTTATTTTAGTAAAATATGCATAACTGCCTGACACCGTCTTGTTATGCGCGAACTTAAGTGGTATATTAGATCCATAGAAATTGATTCCAGATCTTCAGAATCGTCTAATGTTGTGTAAGGTGATATTTAATAGAATTTATTCAAAATTTGCTCCTGCAAGCAATTCAGATTATGCAATAATGCAATAGGTTGCATTCAGGCTACAGGAGGACCAACGCCTTACTAAAAAATTATAACTACAATTAATAAAGCAGCCTTTAAGTTATAAATAAATAAAATAAAAAAGAAACATTTTTTTAGAGAGTAAACTGTTAAAAAATTCGAACAAAATCATTTTATTCTCAAGTGTCATAAATCATTTTCTTGAGGTACTCCTTGAAGCAGTATAGGTGGCATCGAGGTTGGTCTTAATTTTAAAATAAAACGGGATTTCATCAAATGGGCAAAGTTCTATAGCAACGCAATGTATCAAATAGGCAATGTTGGTTATATAGAGCCTTTTTCAAGCAGCTGGCTACGGTCTTAAATAACATCAGGAATGATGCCCAAGATATCAATTATATAGCTGGAACGAAGGATTAATAAGAATTGGGCAAAAGAGAGCAGAGATGCAGGAATGCAGCCAAAGTCTGCATAGTAGAGGAAACTACCAATTTGGCCCATTCGAAGACAGTAATACAATGAACTTAGAAGAAACGCACCACCGACACCCTCTTAGCAATCAATATATCAAATCTGAAAATTGTCTTAGGGATGTACACCGGACACTTTAGTCTCAAATACCACAAGCCAAAGATTGGTCTCGCCCATGATGACATGTGCCGATTGTGCTTGAAAGCTCAGGAAACGGCAGGGGACAGATTGTGGTGCAGACGCCCGGAGGTGGGAAGAATCAGGCACTCAAAATTTGGGGACGAAAATCTCGGATTTGAGGATCTTATAAAACAACGCCTAAGTCTGATGGCGTAATGATCCTGTCACAGCGGAAGGCCTAAATCCTGAGCCTTAGTCAAAAATAGGCGTCATGTGTCTTCTAAAAATAAGCAGGTCTGCGGACATTTTTTAAATGTCACTAATTCCTGTTTTTTCGGATACACGTTAGTCCGTATAAAACTCATTATCGAATCGCTGAATGGACGAGTAACTAAGTATTTCTCAAAACAACGCCGAGGAATGCCCAGTAATTCGAAAATTCGTAACACGGAAATTTGAACGTTAATCGATTCGGACATTACTTTATATTTGAAGGACGGTCGAAAGCATGGCCAATCGTCGGGTCAGTTGGTCGCGAAGTCGGTCGCGTTTTTCGAAAATGTGCATTTTAAGTTGATTTTGAATTCGATCTGTCACCGAAATGAGTGCCGCAATCGCCGTCTCCCTCCTGGAGAACGTGCTGAGACGCCAACACTTAAACGGTATGTCTTAAAGCCAGCTTTCCTAGAAACTGCCACCTAGTGGTATCAGGCTTGACTGTAGATTTGAGAATAACGGAACAAATGAATTGATAGTCAATGTTTCATTTTGAATGTTGGGCAATCATTTGTTTATTAACAATTAAGATGCACTACTAGAGTACATGGGGAAACTTTCCGTTAACAATTCTTTGTATCTCATATCTCACATTTTAATTTTGCTACCTTTTCTTACTAATACGCGTCTTAATTTCTTTCAATCAGTTCTCCATTAATACGTACGCCTTCTATCACCTATTTTGTATTTTTCATCCATCCTTTCTATCTCCTCTTGCTTTTTTCACCCCCACATCTTGGATTCATGTACTAATTTGCTCCTCACCATACAGTTGAACATAATCTTCAGAATTCCTTCGACAATTTTCTCACCCCTATTCCAATTACTTTGTTACATTTTTCAATACGTATCGTAGGTTAGTTCATTTGCCTTTTCATTCAAAATGTACCCTAAATATAACAATTTCTTCAATTTTCTTCTTGTTTTATTAAATACCATTATTTACGACATTTTAATAACTTGATCACAACATTCGTAAAATATTGTGCTATAGATAAATACATAGTGAAAAAATCTACCTCAAAAAAAACTTGAGTAGAAAATACTATAAGAGTAGATAGAGATATAGATATCAATCATCTCAATTATGTCTTTTATGTTTTTTGTTGTTAGTTAAACGGATATGCTTTATATTGGTTTAAATAATATCTTAGCTGTTGGTAATATTAACGTAGCAATAAACGGTTGGCAACTATTTGTTTGTCGAAAAGAAGTTTCATACAAATTTAGTGCAAAAAACGCCATTTTGAGCAGTGTTTTTCCATAATTTTTTCATTTATTAACCAATTGACTCAAACTCACCACATTTTGAAGGTATTTTTAAGGCACAGAACTTATTTTTTTTTCTAAAAAATCGTAGCTTCAGCTACAAGACAAAAAAAAATGTTTTTTCACATTTTAATTGTTAACAAATAGGTGCCCAACTTTCTATCAATTCATTACTACTGTCAAGTCTGATACCAGGTAGCAATCACAAGCGGCCCAAATACGAATTCGTTTGGATTAAAAGATAGAGAGACCACGTATCATTAGTTACGATCAGGGCATAGGGTTTTAGAATTTAGCAATTGCTTGTAGAATGGGCACGTTAGGAAATAGTGCTTGCTATTTTTAAACACGGTTTACGTGGTGACATAACTATCGATGGGACTAGAGAGGGGTGCCATAGAAAGCTAATGTGTGATCGAAATTTTAATCGGATCTTTTTACAAAGCAATCGTACCGACGAAATGGATATTCGGTTTCAGTTGTGATCACGTCAAGAGTTCGAGATGATAGTGCTTGGTAAAAGTACGCGCTAATTTTGAATATGTGTTGGCGCGACAGTGGTTCAGATCTTGGAGTGAACTGTGTAGACACGAATCGATATTCCCTGATTTTTTTTTATTGAAAAAAATTAATGATTCACGTGATAATTACTTGTAAAATAAAGAAATGTACTTCAATTTTGCAGTTTTAGCAACTTTGAAATCTCAATAGTTGTGGTTTGCATAATGCGAAGAAGTTAACAGTTCCATTGTTGAATGTTGAATGTGATTCAGTCTAACTTTTGTAATTTAATTATGAAAGGAAAGGGTAAAACAAAATCATTAATTCTAAGAAAAAAATAAGATTCAAGGGGTCGAAATCAAATAAAAACAAAACTTTAAGATAAATAAATAATAATTTTGTTTATACACTATATGTTAGACCGCATGAGTTAGTCTACTTTTTTAAACAAATTTTCATATAATAGTTCTACCAATTGTTAAAAGTATCAGAGCTATGAGATCAGAGTATACATCGGAACCTCTTTAATTACTAATAATTCCTTGGAATTCTTCGGAATTCCTCGGAAATTGCTTTATACTGTACACTAGAGTCCTGTGCGGTTTATCTCTAGCCAATGATCAAAGTATTATAGCATTTTTGAATCCTACACCATTAAAATAAGTTTAATAAGGTATACCTTATCAAAATCTTTTTTTTTATAATTTTATTTAAAATCTAATTCTTCAAATAGAATTTATAAATAAATGGAATACAGGATATTCGACAAAAAAAGGTTTAATTTATAATAAAAAATGGTGGAACCTGAGGAAATTCTTGTAGTTACCATCGCGTACAAATGGAAACAGAAGACCACACAACGATCACAATATACTTGTAAATTTGTCATTTCACAATTTTCTCTCTCATTAGCGAACAACAAAACATCGATATTTTGTTAAATGTTAAACATTTCTAATAATTTCTATGAAACGAACGATATTTCACTGTAATTACTGTTTATTTAGTATCTACGTAAAGTAGGAATAACAAATGCGGTATCGAATCAAGCAGAGATAAGTGTATTTGTGGAAAGCTGCTACTTTCAGTTGTACAAACACCGCGAATACTACTACCACTATATTATAAACTAGACAATATTCATTTATTCGGCTAGCAGAAATACCGACAGAGCTGCAAGGACGACTGTCTCTGTCAGTGCACCGTTGAGAAAAAATACAAGCGAAGTACTAATTTCAATTCCGACTTGAAGATTTTTGCTTAAAGGAAATAAAACCTCTTCGCTATTGTGCTAGATTTCCCATTTTCTGATTAAAAGCTGAACCAAACCAAACATTAAAAAATCTATTGCTTCCTTGGTTGTATTCACACAACTCCATCAACATCTTTCGCCAATACTAGCAACATTTGAAAAACGATTTAAGAAAATATGCATCTTAAAAAAAAAACAAAAAAAATATTCTTAACAAGTTTTAAATCGTTCTGTTTCAGTCATGAGTACTATTACGGACCCCCTGCTAAGTCTGGGAGCCAGTACTATCTCGAATCTCGCAGTTTTTGTGCCGACCCTTATCGCAGCCCTAGCTTACTTCCAGTACGAACAGCTCGATCCAGAAAGTCGACCCATTAACGTGCCAACGGAGGAGTTGCTGGATAGGTACGACTTTATCGTCGTAGGGGCTGGATCAGCGGGAGCAGTGGTGGCGAACAGGCTGACGGAGGTGGAGAATTGGAAAGTGCTGCTTCTGGAAGCCGGAGGGGATGAAACGGAAATATCAGATGTACCTCTGCTAGCGGCGTACCTCCAACTATCTCAGTTGGATTGGAAATACAAGAGTGAACCACAGGGACAAGCTTGCCTAGGTATATGGGACAAGTTGGTGGGTCAAAATGAAGTTACGTCTATTATCCATGTGTTTTTTTAGCTATGAATAACGGCAGATGCAATTGGCCCAGGGGCAAAGTCATTGGTGGGTCGTCCGTGCTTAATTACATGTTGTATTTGAGAGGAAACAAGAAGGATTATGACATATGGGAATCTATGGGCAATCCGGGTTGGGGATCCCAAGACGCTCTACATTACTTCAAGAAATCCGAAGATAATAAGAACCCTTATCTGACGAAGACTCCTTACCACGCCACTGGTGGATACCTGACAGTGTCGGAACCACCGTATAAGACGCCATTGGTAAGACAGCATTGTTCTAATTCCATGCTAGTTGTTTTAGGGTCGACTTAAAATATTTTTTTTATCTCGAAGAATTATACATTTTTGGGGTTTAAGACAAAAAGGAAAATCCGTTGGCATATAGCAAGGAGCTTTTTCAGTTTAGAAATCAGAATATGTAACCCATTTTAATGTAGCCCACAGATGGTAATGGTGTGGTCAAGTTAGCAGAGAGGGTCAAATATTTCAGTAAATCTTTGAATATCGAACAAGATTCGAGGTATTTTCTTTAAGTTTTTCTATGTATTTCCCACTCTATCCTTACTGATTAAAAGAGAACATGGAAGTGTTACGTTGTTACTTCTAATTTTTTTGGTATATTGGTATAAAATAAGTGTGGCAATTTCAAATTGCAACTCATAATAGTTTTTACAAATCTTCTGGATTCCTCCTGCGTCGGTTTTTGTTGAGTCGAATTTGAAAACGTTTCACCAATCATCATGTTGGCTTCTTCAGCGGAGCTAAATGAGGGGCATAAACAGCGTCTCGGATAACTGATTCTCATATTGCCGACAGGTAAAGACCTGAATCGCGGTTAAGATTATTAGGTTGCTTATGGATTTCTATAGACTTTCGGATTTTTCGTTAGTAGGAAAAGTGATTACATGTGATTACATGGAAGAATTTTAGTTTTATCGAATAAAATTTTATGTGCGGTTTCGTGATTGTGTTCGGCAACTGATGAGTTTAGTTGTCTTAATCTTAAGGCTCTTTCATGTTCTTTGACCCTAGTTGATATTTTTTGCCGCATATGGCATCTCAAATGGAATTTAGTCTTTCACGGATCGAAGATGTTGAGAGATTTTTGGACAAGCGGTAGATCTGGTTTCTTTGAAAAATTAACTCATAATAGGTTCCATTTATCTGAGTTGCAAAATGAGCTACTATGTAAGCAAATATTTTGTAATTTTCTAATCAAACACATCCGCTGGCCATTTAAGACACAATTATCCGTTAGTTATAATTGAAAATAATATTGAAGATAAAAAGATGCGACTAAATAAACTTAATGAAAGATTCCCGGCTGCAGGTATTTACAAATGACTGTAACTCAACAATGGTAAGATTTTGAGACTTTTTAAAAATACAATGGGCAAGAGAAATGGCTGGAAATGATTTTCATAATTTAACCGCCAAGGACAAAGAAACACAATATATAATAAGGCTAACTATAACTGTGAAAAACTCAATTGATTGAAATTTTTGCTGTGTTTTCGTATTTCGCAGTGGGGAGTGTAATTGAAGTGGTATCTTTTTCTAATTGAGGATCCTACTTGTGTTATTAAAATTTTTCCTTATAAATCAAGAACTGATGAAAAAAAATCCTGTCAAGAACATAGTAGAGCGTTTGTAGGCATTTGCATTAATCTTGCTCTGCTGCGCTGTGAAAATACTAAAGTATTTGATCTATCTTTGGTAAATTTCAGGCTACCGCTTTCGTGGAAGCTGGCAAGCAGCTCGGTTACAAAAACCGAGACATCAACGGCGAATTCCAAACGGGTTTCATGTTTGCCCAAGGTACCGTGCGTAATGGCGCGCGTTGCTCCACCGGAAAGGCGTTCCTCAGGTCAATTCGACTGCGCCAAAATCTTCACGTAGCCATGAAGGCTCACGTAACGCGGGTGCTGATCGATCCCACTACCAAGGTAGCTTTCGGTATCGAATTCGTCCGAGACAACAAACTGCATCGAATCAGGGCCACCAAGGAGGTGATCTTGTCAGCGGGGGCGGTAAACTCGCCTCAAATCCTCATGTTGTCTGGAGTCGGTCCTAAAAGCGAACTCGAACGGCATAAGATTCCGGTCATCCAGGACCTTAGCGTAGGGAATAACTTGCAAGATCACATAGGGTTAGGCGGTTTGACATTCACGATAAACAAAGAAGACTCGGTGACTCTGGACAGAGTCTACGCGGCCGCACCTTTGATGCAGTACGCGATCTGGGGACAAGGACCTTTGACCATAATGGGCGGAGTCGAAGGACTCGCGTTCGTCAATACGAAATACGCCAACGCTTCTGACGATTTCCCCGATATCGAGTTCCATTTTGTGAGTGGATCTACCCACTCTGACGGGGAGCAATTGAAGAAAGCCCACGGATTAACGGACGCTTTTTACAATCGAGTTTTCAAGCCGATAGAGAAAAAAGATGCTTGGAGCGTAATACCGATGCTTCTCAGACCGAGAAGTAAGGGTGTCATCAAACTGAGAAGTAAAAAACCGTCCGATCCGCCTTTGATATACCCTAACTATTTTATGGACGATTTCGACATGAAAACGTTGATAGAGGGCGCGAAAATCGGGCTCCAAATGAGCCAAACTCCAGCATTTCGAGCATACGCCAGTCGGCATCACGAGTTTCCTCAATGTACTCACATAGAGAAATACACGGATCAATATTGGGAGTGTATGATTAGGCTTTATTCGGTCACCATATACCATCCCGTCGGAACTTGCAAGATGGGACCTTACTGGGACCAGGAAGCGGTAGTCGATCCTCAATTGAGGGTCTACGGTATAAAAGGGTTGAGGGTGATCGATGCCAGTATTATGCCGAATTTGGTGAGCGGGAACACCAACGCGCCAGTGATCATGATTGGTGAAAAAGGTTCGGACATGATTAAAGAGTTCTGGTTGAAAACTGTGAATATGGGCAAAATATATAGAACTTTGCAAGGAATTTAGGTGCGGAATGTTTAGTGAAGCGAGGACTGCGGTGGTATGCGTAATTTATTATTAATAAAAATTAACTCTTTTAAATGTTTGTTTGTTTTCGTTTGCACAAGCGACGCGAAACGTTGATCGACAATGCTACGTCGGCATTTCATTACGTGTGGCTAAATTAGCTTCACGAAAACTTTTGCATAGTGCAAAAAAATTTACTGGTGCTCTGCCACTTTGTTGCGGTAAGTATTGTTACTTCAATTTAAAAAAGGTCTTCCTTTTGTGTATTTATCATCAAGTAAGTTTGGCCAGTGAACAATAAGTGTTCTACGTAGTCAATAAATATTGGCATAACTTTAAAATGGGAAGCTCGTCTTCAAGATGAAAGATTTTCAAATCTCTTTTTTCGACTATATCATTGAACCAAATTTGCATTTCAATAATTTTAAGCCTCAATTGTGGGTGCAACAAACACCAATTACACTGCCAGTATAAGAATATTTTTAATATTTTTTGAAAAGTTCATCGGGGAGCATTTGGTTTTATATCCATGGGCACCTTGCCCTCGCCTACTATACATTATACTATATATATATATATATATATATATATATATATATATATATATATATATATATATATATATATATATATATATATATATATATATATATATATATATATATATATATATATATATATATATATATATATATATATATATATATATATATATATATATATATATATATATATATATATATATATAAGTGAGAAGATATTTCAAACGTTTGAAAATAATGTTTGTATCGTCCAGAGTATGGAAACATTCTAGTATCTCTCATTGGCGATAGACACCTGGAGCAATTGTTGGAAAGGGTCAACACTGAAATCTTCAGTTTTTTATGTCATAGTGTTATTTAGTAAAATAAATTAAATTATATTATAGGCTTACTCGTTAGAATTTCAATTGATATAGATCTCTCTGGATGATCAAAAAATGAATAAATTTTCATCTGCATAACAACTGACAAAATAATTAAAAATTATACAAAAATAAATTACTGTTAAATTTTCTGCAGCAAATTTACCAAATACAGGCAAAAAAACGGTCACCAAAAAACTGGTCCTAATTTCAAGATGAATGGAAGGGATCAAAATTCAATGTGATTCCAGTTGACAACATCTGCCACCACTATTGTATTCTATAAATTGTTCCAAATTTTGGGAGAAAAATGTCCTCTCATTGTTGCACCCCGAACATGCTCATATTGAAATCTGAACAAAAATTCCTGAAATAGGATCGTCAAATCATCAAAAGCCAGATATCCATCCAGATATTAGTGACCCTTTTTTGTCGGCCAGTGTCTTATTATCCACAATTGTTCAAATAGTTGTTAAATTCCAGGAGAATATAATTTTTGGCAATCCGTGCAGTTGAATCAAAACACGATAAAATGTCGGAGGTTAACCAGCAAATGAACTTGTACTCTATCACTAGAATGGCAATGACGTTAGGTCCGGGATTAGGTTTCCTTCTTTATCTGCATTCGGTAACCATAAACCAGCGACAAGATCTACTAGACAGGTAAGTCGTAAAATCGTAAAAACACATTCCTAGCGCTTTCAATTATGTTTAAAGGGACCATAGAATGAGGGACACACTTCTATCCGACATCAAAGAGTCTTACGACTTTATAGTGGTGGGGGGCGGCAGTGCCGGTGCCGTTTTAGCCAATCGCCTCTCGGAGAACCCGTACTGGGAGGTTTTACTGCTCGAAGCTGGTCCTGATGAAATCAGCATATCCGACATGCCTTTGATGTTCCCCGTTTTGCAACTCACACCAATAGATTGGCAGTATAAGGTAACAAATTCGATAAGTTCGTGAAAGAGATGTATTAAATGAGTTTCAGACAGAACCGGGAGAAAAGTATTGTCAAGCTATGGTAGACGGTAAATGTAACTGGCCCAGAGGTAAAGTGCTAGGGGGATCGTCAGTTCTAAACGCCATGTTGTACGTTCGAGGGAATAAGAAGGATTATGATAGGTAACAAGAGTCATTTGATGCATATTTTACTTTCTGCAGGTAACTTTTTCGTTTAGATGGGCGGAAGTTGGTAACCGGGGTTGGAGTTATGAGGAAGTGTTGCCGTACTTTAAGAAATCCGAGGACATAAGGATCCCTGAATATATGGACGACCCCTATCATGGGAGAAATGGATATTTGTCAGTCGAACACTTCAGGTTAGTTCAAAATGTTCGTAAATAAGAAAAGAGCAAAAAAATTGTGTTTACACAACCCATTCAACGGTCTGGAAATCCTCAATGAACAAACCGCGCAATCAAAAGTTCAGCTTTCGAAATACTCCAACTAACCATGCAATACGAATTTATCTAATTCAAAAAATCAAACTTGTCGCTACTTTACGATACAAGCGGCAACACTGAGAAACTGAAAATATTATAGACGGATAAAGAGTGTGTGATCAAATATTCGGCAATTTGCTACGCCGTACTATATTGCTACAGCATGAGACACCCTCTATACCATTGAGCAGGTCGTTCCTATTGTGAGTGGCGATTTCGTAGCATAATATTATTTATCACAATTTTGAAAAAATATTTTATGCGAGTCAACGATATAAAATTTTTATACTACACCGTAATTGTTTTGCAATTTAAAATTACAATTTAGAAGATAATACTGTTTTCTTAGTGATTTTCCTATGGTTCTCCTTTAAATTTCAAAATAAAATCTTTTACATTACGGTAGCATACATCTTTTAATTTTAACAAATCTATTAAATACGCTGGGAATTTAAATATTCTGTTATTTTTTCTTTGTATTTATTTCATGGAATACAAATGGCCAACCAAACTACCTACTTACTATAAACAATTGAAGCATATATACGATAAAGAAAAACGCGAAAATATAAAATAATTCTATAACGGCTCATTTTTTTTTGGTTTTCCAGAACAATATTCATTATTAGTAAGCAAAATAAATTTTCAAGCAAACTATTTTTAAACAAAACAAATATTTCATCAACAATATTTCTAAATGGATATCATTTGATATTTCAAAACATTGATAAGTAACAGGGTGAACTGTCCCAGGTCAGGGTCAGTACAGTCTTTCTTCTAAGGATTTTCGGAGTGTGCAAGGAAACTTTAGGTGCTTCCTATATTAGCTCCTTAGCAATAAGTATACGGGAAAACAATGCATTTGTTGCAGTGAAAAATATGCTTTTTTACGTGCTAAAGATCATGGAAGTACCCAAAGCGGTTCCAAAACGATTAATTGAATTAATACATTGCACTTTTATAATTTTTGTTAGCCCGTGATGTTGTAAGGGACATCATTGTTTAAGTTGCAAGGCAAACTGCCAGCATTAGCGCGTGATTAAAAACATCATCAACATGGTATATCATTAGCGTTTTGCCTTAACTTTGCTCCCTCCCAAATTATTAATCAAAAATCACTAGCGCTCCTACACATACTTTGTTAGAGTGAGCATAACATTAAGGTTTCGAAAGCAATAAATGACCATTATACTTCCCATAGCAAACTCCACATCTCACCGCCCTACACCGATTTGATTTAACTACTTAAACCGACAAACGACAGTAAAACTTCGGGAGGTTAGTCGATTCCGAGGATGACTCAATTGACGTATTGTTATTAAACACGCTGAAAATGTTTACTGAAAATAAGTTGCTGTTTTCACCTCTGGGAACGACTTTTCTCTCTTTTTTTTTTTAATAGATTTTTGAATGCGAAAAGCATTTCACGGAATTCAATTACTTTCCATCGTCTTATGTCGTATGTCATACATGCCTATTTACAATACTACACCTATAGGCAACCAACTCTACGCGCCGGTATCGATTTCAAACGGAATTAGACCGGGTGTTTATGAAAAAAATAACAACATCGTTTGCTTTATAACAATTTTTAGTCACAAAATTGAAGCATAATTTGTTTCCTTCAATGTTTCTATTTAAAAAATATAGACGTTTTATATTGAATGGAAGTTGGAAATGGTATTTAAATACAGTGGTAATTAAAACCGAATGCGCGTCGTTTACATAAGCACATCTCACCGCCTCGTGCCGACTCGGTTTCAGTACAAATACCGCGTTTCACAAGAGACTTAACGGGAAGGTCCGCTATTTCTGAGATGAAAGCTATTAAACTGCGATGTTCCGCTCCCATGAAAGTAACAAGCCTCAAGCGTCTTTCTGAACTCAGGAGTGACTTTGGCCTTCCTTTTTGTTTCTTTTTTAAAATAAAGTTAGTTCTGCGATCTCTTAAAACATCTTGCGTTGAATCTTTTTAATTAATTTTCTGAACAGAGCGCGCGGAAAGCGTCACTTTAAGACGACAGCTGTATTATACATTTGATGTTTTCGTTGTCAGTTCTCATGACCAAAAAATGTTTAATAAATTAATTGTCATTATCATATAGGCATAATTTCTCGACATTTTGAGAACTTTATTAACGAAATAAAGTTGAGGTCTCCGTATGGAAAATTATGACACTGAACTTATGTGTATGCTGTTAGACGAAGAATAAACTTAATAAAAATGCAATTACATCCAAATTAAAGTAATTCTGTTGTGACAAACGACATAAATGCTGTAACTAATGCCTATTTCTTCATTTTTGAAAAACAGATGGGTTGGTTGGGTTTTACACATGTAATTTGTTTAAGTTATATGCTGTCACATTTGTATCCCAGATATATCGATCTAATTTTCTAGCATTAAAAAAAAACAGACGCAAATTAAGCAACGGTTATTTTTTCAAAAACAAAAATGAAGTTTGATTTTGGTTGCTGCTGTCCTATAAGTTATTGTTTTTTCGTAAAACTGATAGCGTTACAACACTGCAAAGAATCAAAACTGACAAAAACCAGTACTGTTTAGTTATATGGAATCCACATTGATACTACGCGCAAATATTGAAAGAATACAAAGAGAAATTTTGATTGATTTATTCCCAATTTTGGTTATTCAAGTCTGCAATTCCCTGCTCTTTGGCGGGACCCTACAGAATTTTATCATAGAAATTTCGTTTAACTCGTTATTACTTAAAAAATGAATATTATACTAAACAACCCATATTCTGTTAGATACAGATCTCCGCTTGCTGGCTGGTTCCTACACGCCGCTAATGAAGCAGGTTACGACATAAGAGATATAAATGGGGAGTACCAAACCGGTTTCTCTCTGTCGCAAGGTACTTTAAGAGATGGATTACGATGTAGCACCGCCAAAGCTTTTCTAAGGTTAATTTTTTGTATTTTAAATGGAGCATGACTAATATTCTTTACCTAGATCCGTTAGCGATAGACCCAACCTACACGTCAGTCTCCTGTCTACGGTCGAACAAATTCTAATCGACAAAGAAAGGAAACAAGCCTACGGGGTAGTCTTCAACAAATTGGGAATTAAAAAAACGGTGTATTGCGACAAAGAAGTTATTCTCAGCGCGGGAGCTCTAGGTTCGCCGCAATTGCTTATGCTAGGTAACTCTACGGTGCCAAAACCGTAAAACTAAGTCTGTTAAATAAAAATTTCTAGCTGGAATAGGTCCAAGGGATCATTTGGAAGACGTGGACGTCGAAGTGCTTGTAGATTCTCCCGGGGTGGGGCGCAATTTGCAAGACCACGTAGCGATGGGCGGAGCCTCGTACTTTTTCGAACCCTCCGACGAATATCAAGGCCAGACTTGTAGCTTCCAATTGCCCACAATCTTTTGCGAAAAGACCGTGGACGCTTTCGCGCAAAATCGCAGCGGACCGGTTTACTGGTTGCCAGAATGCGAGGTTGTTCAATACTTGTTACTTTCGAAAATTGATAAAATCGAATTTTTCGAAAGTATCTACGCTCGTATAAAAATTTTATATCTCGGTAGCGGTAGGTCCTATGAGATCGCCGTTGGTACAGAACTGATCAGCGTCGAAAAAAAAATATTTTTTTTGTCTGTCCGTTCTCCGTTCTCGTTTTTTGGTTTTTCCTGAATAACAATAAAAAAACTATGCGTCCCTCTAGGACAAGGAAACGCGAAACGACTTCTTTTAGAAATACAAAGCTGCTTCACTTGCCCGGCCCAGCGACGATTTTTCGAAAGCAATCTTGTTTTATTTAAATTTGTCAAATCATTAATGATCTTCCTTTCTAGTGTCTTCCTAACAGAGGAAGTCTTAAGTATCGAGCAGCCTTAGAAAAATTATTACTTCAGTCTGCTCTACTACCAAATGTTCGAAATAGTAGCGCAATAGAGCAGTAAAGTAGTTTTCAGTATTTTGAAAAAATGCTGTAATGCGTACTGAATAAATTCAAAAGATAAACATTTGAAAAATAATCTCAATTATATACGGTTATTCATAAAAGTTCATAAAACATGTTTTTTATAATAGTATTTTTGCATATTACAATAACTCCAACATATTGGAAAAAAAATGGATTTCGTTTAATAAAACACTTTTTCCGATGATTTGCTATTATGTTTCAATCTACTACTTTTATACTATAAAACATTGACCTTAATAGTCAAATGCACTGCGTCACCACTATATTATTATTAATATTATTTATATTATTATTGAGTACTGAATATAATATAATATTAATAATAATAATAATTGCCCCTGCTAAATTAAAAATACGTTTGTGTTACCAATTAAATTGTTTTGATAACCCATAATTAGAAAAACCACTATATTATTATTAATATTATTTATATTATTATTGAGTACTGAATGTAATATAATATTAATAATAATAATAATTGCCCCCCTAAATTAGAAATACGTTTGTGTTACTAATTAAATTGTTTTGATAACCCATAATTGGAAATTTGATTAACCTTAAAAAATATCTTTTTATATTATCCAATTCCCAAACGAATATTTTTAATATTATATAAGAGATTATATAGGAAGATATGCTTTTTAAAATATATTATATTTATTTACAATAAGCCAGGTGTCAATAACCAAGGTGTGGTATAAACCTTTCTTGGACTTATCGTAATATGCACAAATAATAGAGGCTATATTTAAAAATATATATTTTCATATTTATGAAACACACACAAACAATGTTTTAAAACGATAATTCTTGATTTTATGCAACATCTATTAAACCCGTTTTTTCAGTAATAAATATTGGTCCCTTAAAATCAGGATATTTAGGTTGTTACTTTTTTAAAATAAAATGTCGACTGTTATTTATATTTAGGGAAAGCTAGAGAATAGAAAAAAGAATGAAAAAGAAAGATATCTAAGAAAGAGAACACAGAGAGGCGTAATAGTATATAATGCAACAAGTGTAGTAAACGAGTGATTTAAAAAGTTTACCAAACGTGTTGCACACTTTACGACCATTAGTTTTTGGGTACATTTTTGCAAAAAAAAAACGAATATATTCACTGACATGACCGTCAGAATTGGCAGAGGACAAAATTGGTGGGAAATATCTCCGAAAACATCCGATTGCTCCCAAGTCCGTGAGGTAATATGCCGGAAATGTCCGAAGTGGCTCGCAGCCATCGGAAACGAAACTGACACTTTGCGCACGCTAGTTCGGTGTATAATACGAGTTTATTTGACACGAGCGAAGCGAAGCGGAGCGAGTGTTTAATAAACGAGTGACTTAAAATGTTTACTGAAAGTGTTACATACTATACTTTTTCTACGACCGTTAGTTTTTGGGTACATTTTCGTAAAACAACACGAATACATTCACTGACATGACCATCAGAATTGACAAACGACAAAATTCAAAGCGTGGGAAATATCTCCGAAACATCCGATTGCTGCCAAACCCGTGCGGTAAAATCTCGGAAATATCCGAAGTGGGAAACGAAACTGACGTGGAAAAGTAACGCTTCCCGCACGGTGTGTAATTAGGTATTTGACAGACGGGAGTAGAAAAAAATAATATTCAATTTAATTTTTTTTTTTTTGAGAAAAATAGCACTTTACTGTTTCTAAATTTGTTACTGTATTAAAAAGACAGCAATTAATATAAAAAATTTTAATTTGAAAAAGAATTTTTTGGTTAGGTTCCGAATTTTTCCTTCAAATTAGCTCAAGAAATATCCCTTCAATATTCAGACACTATCAAGGAACACCTTATATGTGCCAAAGCAATGTACTTCTGCAAAAAGATAAAAAGCAGTTAATTGCAATTAATTATTTAAATAACTATTATTTAAATGAGGAAAATTAAAAAAAATAATTAACATAAATATCCACTATTCAAAACATAAAAAACAAATTTGTAATTAGTGAGATAAAATCAAAAAAAGAGCTACGCCCGAGCAGGGACTTGAACCCTGGACCCTTGGATTAAAAGTCCAATGCTCTACCGACTGAGCTACCCGGGCTTATTGTATTTTTTGGCTATATCCGTTAAAATACAAGCCCGTGAAATACCATCCCTGTTAAAGTGGCAAAATTATACTATAATGTTATAACAAAAACGTTTCCAGGTTATGGGATTCGTAAGCACGGAATATGCTAAATATGAGGACGATTGGCCGGACATTCAATTTTTTTTTACGTCGTATTCGGAAGTCTCGGACGGAGGGCTGTTTAGCAAGAGGGCGGTAGGCATGAAAGATGACGTTTACACGGCGGTTTACGAGGAGAATGTATACAAAGAAAGTTTTTCCGTTTACACATTGTTGATGAGACCAAGAAGCAGAGGCCGGCTTATGCTGAAAGACAACAATCCCGCATCCAAGATTCTGATTTACCCCAACTACTATGCTGATCCTTACGACATTAAAGTTATTGTAAGTCATACTTGGTTAGTTATAAATAATATGAATCATGAATACGGGTACAAATCGGAATGTTGACGGAATTTTCCTTGTAATTGAGCTTTATAAAATTCGTTAGAGGCTCCATGTCTGAGTTTTCAAGTATTCGTTTTTTTATGAGCGTAAATATAAATAAAAAATAAATCATTTTAAACAATTAATTGTGAGTTCTATATAAATTATTATATTTATTTTAATGAAATTATTAGCACTTTCAACATTTAGCATTTAATCGCGAATAATAAAAAAGCTAAGCGCTATTGGTGGGTTCAAAGCAAGTAGCTGCTGGAAATTGTAATGGGGTTGCGTATGTCGATAATAGCTGACAGTTAGTCAATTCGACAATTTTCCGGATGGATGTGTCATATTTTCGAAAAAATATGATCAGGTCACATTAAATTTTCATAAAAAAAAACGATCTATATGCGTGGAGATCGTTCCTTTTTTTATAAAAATCTCATAGCCGTCTGAAGAGCATTAGTTTTACATAGTTTAAATAGGTGAATTAAATTCGCAATGCCTTTGTACAACACAAGATTAATATGAATGCAAAAAATTATTCTGAACAAAAGGAAAAGGAACGACAGTGGTCAAGCAAAACAGAAATAAACAAATTTGAAAAACTGAGAAGTACTAGTAATTTATAGGCGCAAAGAATTCTTACGTACATGGTGCCGGTCTTCAAGGCAAGGCAACATAGGAAAATATATCAAGCGTAAAAAAAGTTATACTTTTAAAGGGTTATTTAAAAAATGCAAAAAAATGAGTGGCGCACATCTCTTTCGTTCGTTAAGATACCTCATAGGACAGCACTGGGCTTCACAATTCTAGCAAAATTTACCTTTACCATATAAATATTGTTTTCTTATTTCAACAAAATAGGGCGAAAAATATTTAACATATCCCAAAAGATACTGTTTAAAAATGTATTATTTATTATGTAAAAATTTTCTACTACTACGTTTATATGATTTTTTTTGCCGAATCTCCAGTCAAACGTTGGCGCATGTTTCAAAGCCCCCAGTATAGGGTAGTTCATTACTGCGTGATTCTTGTATATCTTCATAAGTGCTTGTTGTTTGTATCAAAATGCTGTATGTAATTATAATAGTTACCAATTCACGGGGTACCTCGAAAGTATGTCGTAGCTCCTATCTTGCATTTCAGTTTGATCAACCAACTTTCAAAGTAGCTAAACTTTGTTTTTTTTTTATTTGTATTTGAATTTAGGATGTATAATTTCATTTTCAACGGTTTTTTTGTCAATCAAACCCCAAAGTACTTTCGATTTAGCATTAATTGTGACAACTTTGAAGCTATGTAGTTTAGGGAGTGTGGAACTGACCTGTACAAACTTATCAACCAGGCGCATATCGAAACAAACTCTAATGGAGATATAAAAACCCAACTTTGACATTCTTCAGTGGGCTTTGTCCCTGTGCCAATATAAATTGTGCCAAGTAACCAAATTATAGGTCGAGGGTGCAAAAATCGGTCACAAAATTGTTACGCAAACACCGACGATGAAAAAGTACAAAACCACAATAAATCAACTGCGCATGCCAGGCTGTCACCAGCTTGAATTTCTATCGGACGAGTATTGGACTTGCCTGGCTTACCATTACACCTTGACCATTTACCATCCGATCGGGACGGCGAAAATGGGCCCTGACGATGACCCAATGGCCGTGGTCGATCCGAGACTCAGAGTGAGAGGTATACATTCTTATTAAGCATTAATCAATGTGTAGAGTACACCAAACAATATACCATATTTACGACATAATCCGGTATTTAACTTTGGTACATTTTTATGAAGGTCTAACCGCAGGCTTACCTCGCTTGGGTTTCTCTTTGTAACCCTCAATAAATTCCACAATGACGTTCTAGAACCCTACTTCGGTACTTCGTGCAAATGCTGAAGGCTGACAGATTTGTGTAGAGTTTCATCGGTGAGATTCCTCGATTATTACTAGTCCATGCAGTGAAAAATCTATTCTTAATTTAAAATGTTTATTACAAATATAAAAATATAAATATAAATGAAGCAAACTGGGAAAACATCCATTATAAATCAGTTATCTACATAAGATTTTGTATTGCTTTCCTAGGACAATATTTTAGTGTCATTATGTCAAACCCTTAAATCGGAAATCAGTTTAAGCTTTCTAAAGTGTTTTTAATATCGGAGATCAACCTACCTAATGGACAAATTCAACTTAAATACGGCAATGGCTTGCGGTACACGTGCTGAAAAGAATGGTCCCTTTTAGGCGAGTCTTAAACTTATCCCGAAGTCAAAACCATAAAAGGTTTCAGAAACGGTATATCGTTTGAAGAACTCTAGGTACACTCCTTTCGGATTTCTCCTGTGTCGAGTACTGACCTTGTCTTGCTTCGGAGCGCTGATTAAAACTGAGGAAGGATTGCTCTGCATGCTCTTTAAATACTGCCAGTGGTAAGGGTAGTAGGTAGTTAATTGCATCAAGAATCACCAAATCTCAAATGTTCGACAGATAGAAGAGAATTCTGGCGTCCTATTTCGTGATTATGTTCAGCAACCGATGATGTCAAAGTCTGACTGATTTCACTTTTTATTTGGTTGGTCTTTAAACGATGGTGGATGTTGGGAGATTTTAGGGCTAGTAGAGGATCTGGCTTGATGTTATGTTTTCAAAATTTTGGATATTTGATCGGTGACATTTTGAACATATGGAGGTAGTATAATTACTAATGTAGAGTCACTTACAGAGTTGAGAGAGTTGTATGAGAGAAGAACTGAGATGAGCTATGTTAATTCCTGGGAAGGAGATTCGGATTCAGACAGAGAAAATGCTCTGAAAACTAAACATATTGCATTCAGGTATTAGTCAGTATAAGCCAGTTTTGTTTACACGGAATGGCCCAAGCTTAAGTTTAAGTTAAGTCTGGTTTTCGATTAATAAGAATGTCTAAAAAAGGGAAGAGGACAAAATTCAGAAGGAGTGTACCTAGAAGTTTCACAGCCTGTGGAAGTTTCTTTGAGAAAAACATAAATAAAAAATTTCCTTTGGATTATTTGAAGGAGTGTCCAACTTGAGGGTGGTGGATTGCAGTATAATGCCTTTCATTCCGAGCGGAAATACCAACGCGCCCGTTATAATGGTGGCAGAGAAGGCGGCGGACATGATCAAGGAAGACTGGGGCGTACTGAAGAAGTACGAACAGCCAATCGAAGAACCCGTAGAAGAACAATACGAAGAGGACGAAGAATACAATGATAAAGCAGGAAATGTACAGGAACAAGAAATGTTGATGCCGGAAGGTGTGTGGATGCCGAGTAATATAGATTATTGGTAATTATGTTGGTCGAATTTATTTCGTGAAACGTACAGACATTTCAAGTTTCGTCAGGTCTTCCCCATTTTAACGTTTTTTTTTTTTAAATAAAAATAACTCTTGAAACTGCAAAAATAAAATCTTTTAATATTTGTATTTGCCTTAATGTGTTTTTTCTGCTTACGCAAAAAGAAATCCATTTTTTTATATTCCGCAAAGTTTACCAAAATGTACATGTACATATTTTCTTTTTGTCTACTAACTTATGTTTTATTTTTATTAAGTTATGCAAGTTAGTAAAAGTGTAGGTGAAAAATAAAATGTTAATTGTATATTGCACTCAAAGGGCCATGCTAGTAATATATTTGTATATGTATAATTGTCAAATACTCATGATTTAATATTTTTTAATAAAGATATCGTTGAGGTCCTGTGTCTATATGTGTCTATAAATTTCTAGACTATTTGTTACGGCCCTAGTGATAAGGACATGAACTTAGTAATATTGCAGCAATGATTCAGTCTTGATATGAGATTTGCAAAATAATTAAATGTAAAAATAATAAAAATACATATATTTTTTATTATTTTTAAATTAAAATCGTATCTGCTAAAAACAAAAGCACAAATCGCAATGTTTGCAAAATAGGTTGAAAGTCGGCTCTAGTCTCTAGAATAAATAATTTTCAAGTATTAATTAATTTTTGAATCCATATAGATTGCATCAAATGTGTTACCGAAGATATTGAATGATGATCTAAATGGTCAAAAACGTTTTCACCTTTAGTGGGACTTTACATTTTCTAGGGTAACCAAAACTGACTGTCGCTCCAACTGACTTGAAAACTACTATATAAGTTCTACTAGTGTAGTTCGGACACTCGCTAAATCGGTCACTACCGTAATCCGGATTGTTATATAAACAGGACATTTTCATATGGACAGAGAGACTTTATGTCTATCAAGGGACATAGAGACATTAGAAACATGGATAGTTGATCTGCGTTTTAGGCAGGACGCAAATGTTCAGAAAAGCCGACAATCCTGAAGCCTGAAGCATCGGAATAATTTTCTTAAGTTTTCACATTTTTTGTATGTATATACAGTTTAATAAGCAAGCAAGCAAGTTCGCGATTTTTAATCAAAAAATAAAGTGGAATGAGTGGAGCGGAACTCGCGGCATATATATTTACACAAATTTATTGGCGAGCCCATACCTTCTTCTTGGAAAACCGGCCCGACGTATCGAGAATGCAGTTTGACGTACTGCTGCAAGGTGAATAAAACCATAGAAGCACCCCGATGCAGCGAAGATGATGATATGACCGGTCACTAGTTTACTCAAAATTTGGAAATTCGAGATACCGTAAAAAGAATTTTAAAAATCACGTTTTAAACAAGTATGCTATTATTATTAAACGCCATGGTGTAAGTGTGTGTATAGTATAGACAGGATGTTTTTTAAATACGTTACTAAAGTGAGTGATTTTACGGCAAGGAGTGTATACAAAAGTAGGTATGCAAATGCTTTTTTCCTAGAAACTTATTTTTTGCCACTTATAAAACTGATCCACAGGATCGTTAAAAATAAGCTGTGTTACTGCTTAGAATGAACATGAACAATTCATCACCAAAACAAGTAAATTTAAATTCAAAAAATCGAAATTAACACCAGGTGAGGGTCAAATTTGGAAGAAAAGCTCGAACGCATATTATAAATTTAAGATCGTTTATTTTTAATGGGCATAATAGCAAAATTGAAAAAACCTTGGCTATGGTGTAATAGTTGTATGCATGATAATTTGGGTTTTATAGCAAATTAAAAGACTCCCATTTACGTTTGGACTACCCGTAATTCATAAGCCACTTTGATGAGACACCTAATAGAATGAAATTTTCTACAAAAAAAGCTCAATTAAAATAATGTGCGATTTGCGTCATTTTTTAAAACCAAGTGATTGGTGAATTCATTCTAATTATGCCCATTACCGCGAAAACAACATCTGTTTGATCGACTAGACCGGGGCTGGACTAGACCTACCAATCAAGAAATGGATTTTCTCGGGCAAGCGTCTATCCCCTGTCAAACCAATTTGGAAGGGGCATCCGCTCACATCTTTCTGACTTTAATAAATGCTCTAACGGCGAGCCAATGTACGCTGGGATCGAAAGGTAATCTGCAACCCTGTCACCTTATTATCCCTAAAGACGTACCAAAATTCGTTTTAGATCAATATCCAGCAGACTACGGACCAAAGTTAGTAGATGGAGAGGAATTCGATTTCATAGTTGTCGGGGCGGGATCTGCAGGTTCTGTGGTCGCCAACAAGCTTTCGGAGAACTCGCGATGGCGTGTCTTAGTTTTGGAAGCAGGTGGATACCCGTCGGCCACCAGTGATGTAATAAAATAGAATAAGCATATCTGATGCTCTAGAAGCTACCGAGGAGTAGGGGTAATTTACAGGTTTGGTTGTTACGACATAATGTGAGGCGGGTAGCAGGATAAAAACATGCAATTTTTTACATAAAATATATGTTAAAAGTGTTGAAAATTTTTCCAGGAAACTGGACTAGATAAATAACTGTTTCGAAATATATTTCAATAATTATTTGCAGTTACTAACAAAAGTTGGACTATCAATTTTTTACACCATTTGGCAAACTTGTAGACGTTATTACCTAGAATCTAAAAATTTATCTATATACTACGTTTTCAAAATCAGAGAAAATTAGTTCGTCAAGTTGGCAACACTTGCAAAACCCCCTGAACGAAATACGTACATAGGTGCTAAAATTTAGCAATGCATTTGACTACGTCAAGGTCCAATATTATAAGAGCAGCATATTAAAATATGTAGATCATAAAAAACAGGTTTTTAAAATATTTTTAATTTTTTTCCCAGTTTTTTTCCCAGTTGGTAACGTCACTAACGTCGTATTGAAATTCAAAAACTGCCAAGGAGTAATATAATTTGTTGGAGCGTAATATGCAAAATAAGGGTGTTAAATTTGAAAATGTATTTTTATGATAAAAACATTCTCAATTATATATTGGGAATATTTTTAAAATATTTGCCATAGGCATATCTCAATATCCATGAACATACCAATGGATATTGGGATATTGGGATTGGTGATTTGGTAGCCAATTTTTCAAAGAAACTTCCACAAGCTACTGTAATACTTTTTATAAATCTTCTGGATTCCTCCTGCGTCGGTTTTTGTTGAGTCGAACTAGCTAACGTTTCGCCAATCATCCTGTTGGCTTCTTCAGCACTTGACTGACAGGTTCATAAAAAGTAATTTGGAAGGTAATAATTTTCGGAGTATAACTATTGAGGCATAGGAAAGTAATATATCATAATAGTCTATAATACACAAGGTGTTTCATTAAAAAAAAGATGTTCGCACATTAAAATCACACGTACCTGTATAACGTACAACAAGCTTCTCTAAATAAATCAAATTGTGTTTACTTATAAACAATAAAGCATAACGAAACAATTTTAAACAAGCCTTTGGGTATACAACTAATACGTCCGGCTTTGGTAAACTACCCCAGCGTTCTGTGAATTTAAAAAAAAGTAATAAACATTTTATTGGATTGTTGTTGTGTGTTTGGAATAAATTACTTTGAACATTCTATTAATAATGTTTAATTTATGGAAAATATACATACCCATTTAAGATTTCAGTGATGCTGCTACTTTTTGAACACTGCAACACTGCTCATTAAAAACCAACACATCCACCCCGAATGAAACTCTATATTAGTGTATATATTGTATTACAAGAAGAGAGATCACCATGCGATTCAATCAAGTTTTGAGTTACAGAATAAGTATGGAAATTGGCAGAACTGCATCGAGTTACTTAATCTTTAAATATTTCGGATTAGCACTTTCTGGAAGTTCATTGTTTTCGGGCATTTTTTACCACTTTTTCGTTCTATATTCGATTGCCTTGTAAATAGTAAATACTTATATTTGTCTCTCTGTGCTCTCCTTATTCTAGTAGACTGCCTTCTGGAGGCCCACCACACACTATATCGGTATCTGTAAGGCGTCACCCCTAATCTATAGTTGCCAGCTCTGAGAAAACTATATTCGCGGACTCCGAATTGCTACCTTCTCCGTCGACAGGTGCCGGTCTTGCTCTTTAATCTCCAAGGAACGAACGAAGACTGGAAGTACCTCACGGAAAAGTCTACCAGTTCGTGTATGGGCTACGTAAACGGCCAATGTCGGTGGAGTAGAGGGAAAGCTCTAGGGGGCAGCAGCAGTATCAACGCCATGATTTATATCAGGGGGAACAAAGGAGATTACGATTCTTGGGCCGATATGGGTAGGAAAGTGTGGTTGGAAAATTTACGATTCAAGTACCGTTGGTATTTTTCCAGGGAATTACGGTTGGGAATACGCCAATGTGGAAAAATTATTCCGTAAAATCGAAAATTACGAAGGAAAACATGACGGGATTGTGCAATACGGCAAAAACGGATACCAACCGATAAGGTGACAGAATAAAAAAAATGAAAGATTTGGCTAAACTTGATTAGGGCAGATTTTAAGAATCTTAAGAATCTGAGACTGGTTTTGATATCTCTGGGTGAAAATGGAGTTCATTTGTTCGAAATGTTTTTCATTCTCAGGAAGAAAGTGTTTATTATCTGTGAGTTATTAAATTCAGATATCTTCATACCTATTTTCTTCTACTGGACTCTGTATCTTTAATGTTAGTTGAAAGTTATATCTAGATTCGTCATAAATGAGTTTATTACAATGCAATTGGGATCTTTAGCCTCTCTCATTCAGTCTATTAAAATTGAAGATGATTAAAAAAAAAGAGGTAATGTTTTGAGAATGTTTACAACACGAAAATGACTTGCTTAACCCACTATAATGTCTATTTATGTTTAGATTTGACATAGAAAGATAACATTTTCAAACAATAGAAATATCACTAGAAACAAGCCAATTGTACTCCTGATTACAGTGAAACACTATTGGATACCAGACGTAGCTGTCTGTGAATATGGGTTAATATTAAATCGCCATTAGATAATTTAGGGAGCGAATTGATGCGCCTTAAATGGCTATTTTCCTAAATATGGGATTGATCTTTCGCGATGGCATGTCTCCACATTTTATCCACTACCCAACACTTTTGCCTTATTGACGATTTGTCAGCGGCCACATTAATTGTTGAATGCTGCAAGGTCATTGGTTATTTTAAATCTGGCTCATGCGTATGGTGGATAGACCTTCTCCTCTTTTTCGATAGTTGCTTTATAGGTTCCTGTATTATCAGCAACCACAAATGACGATGGGATAACTATGGCCCATATGCTCTAATTCTTCGATAAGTCGATCTCATTGATATAATTCGTAGCTGCCTCCACTCATGTGCAAGTTGTACTGAAATGGTCTCTAAGAGCACGGTTCCTCTGAAAGATTCACAGCCTCTGCGAAGTATATATAGCGACAACGTATAGGTCACTTTGCTCAGCATCGATGTAGCATTCTGTCGAATTTTGTTTCCATTTTTATGAAAGAACATCACAACATCCAGAAGATCTACTGACATAACTTGTTCAAATGCTTTGAATTCATAATACACTTTCCTACACCTTCTTACTAACCAAAACTGGATAGCTCTGGGCCAATTTTATTTTAAAAAAAATAATAAAAGGTATTTATGTTTTTGTAAAATAAAAAAAATCTGCTTGGTTGACTGGGAAAAAAATTATCATGCAGGAATTACATTCAACAGAAAAAATATTATAAATGTTTCATTTTAGCTGGTATGACAACAATCAGCCCATAACGCAAAGCCTCATGGAAGGGGCAAATATTTTGGGCTACCCAACATTGACCGAAGAAGACTGTTTGAACCCATTGGGGTACTTCCAATCGACTATAACGATTCAAAATGGAGTCCGCGCAAATGCGGCAAAGGGTTTTTTAGGTAATTCTTACTGTTGTCGATGTATCCATAACATAAAATTGAATTTCTAGGTCGAGTCAAAGATAGAAGCAACCTGTATGTAGCAATCAATGCATTGGTGACTAAAATCCAAATAGATCCGTTTTCAAAAAATGCTACAGCCGTCGAACTACAAATCGGACTCAAAAAATTGCATCTAAAAGTAAAAAAGGAAGTCGTGCTAAGTGCCGGCGCTTTAAACACGCCGCAAGTCCTGATGCTATCTGGCATAGGTAGTAAGTTGCATTTAGAGAATCTGGGCATCGAAGTTATTGAAGATCTGGCAGTTGGTTTAAATCTCCAGGACCATTTGTGCGTGCCGATTTATGTACAACTCGATCAAACGGCACTTCAACCAAGAGACGCGGCGGGTATGGTAGACGACTTGTATGAATACTTCATGTACCGAAAAGGTGTTGCCGGAACGATATCGCTTACCAACTTGCAAGGTTTCATAAACACAAAAAATGATTCTCGGTATCCCAATATTCAACTTCTGCACGTTCTTCATCAAGCGGGGGACGAATTCACTTTGCCTACGATACTGAATGTTGTGGGATATCCCCCGGATAGTATCCGCGAGCAATTAGAACTGAATAAGTTGCATCCCACCATTCACTTCTTGCTTGTCTTATTAAAGCCGAAATCGAGGGGAAAAATTTTGTTACAGAATCAAAACCCACGGGAACCGCCTTTGTTTCACTCTGGATATCTAACGGACCCCAATGGTGAAGATCTGGAGACAATGGTGGAATCCGTGAGGTATGTTTCGTTGACAATTAAATCAGGGATAGACGGTTTCACCACCCTTTTAGATTCGTTCAAAAACTGATACAAACTGAACCGATGCAAAAGCACAATGCCAAACTGCATGGATTAACCCTCCCGAATTGCCAAGGTCTGGAGTTTGATTCGGACGACTATTGGAGATGCTACATCAGAAACTTGGCAACCACGACCTATCACCAAGCAGGTACGGCCAAAATGGGACCGTCATCGTATAGAGAGTCGGTAGTCGATCCAACGTTAAGGATCCACGGCGTTCAAAACATAAGGGTTGCGGACGCCAGTGTGATGCCGGAGCTTGTCAGCGGAAATACCAACGCGGCGTGTCTTGCTATTGGGTTGAGGGCGGGAGAGATCATCGCCGAGGACTGGGAGAACGTGAAGGAGGAATTATAGAGTTGCTTATTGACTATGCGTTATTTAAAAATAAAGATTATTTTGTTTGCAAAACAACTTTAATTTTTTGCCGAGATTTGCAATTCAGAATGATATGTAACAAAAAACAGCGACAAACACAAACCCAGAATACTGAAAAATAGATAACTCCCATGTGCCACCTGTCACAAGTACCTCCATTTTTGTACGAAAAAAATGTTTCTGTTTATAATCGGTTATTTGAAAAAATTATTAAATTATACAGAAGAAAATATAAAAAGAAGTATTTGGTTTGCTGAGCGAAGAATATTTGTAAAATTTTCCTATATACGGTTTCCCTAAAATTATTAGAGAATAAATATAAGGTTTTTTTTTCATTTGTGATACTAAAAGTTATTTCCTTACTGCTGACTAGTGTTTTCAATTTTTATGTATTAGGCAACGATGTGAAGTCTTCAGTATGAGGTACAGGGTGGCACGTTTATTATGGGATAACTTTTCTCAGAATCTGTTAAATATATACAAAAAAAGTTGTTAGGTGTATTTTGGTAGACAATATACAATTTTTTTATTTTAAATAGAACACTTGCATTTTTGATTTCATTAGAAAATTTCTTTTCTGACATATTTGCAATTTTATGTCAAAAGTGACGTTTGCAAGTCTAAATATCTATAGCCTTTCTATTACAGGGTGTATAGAAATTAGGTTCGAATAATATAGGGGGTGATTCTGCATTACATTGCATTTTTTCATTTTGGGTCTGGAAATGCATAGTTTTGGGTGTCAAACTTTTAAAAAATCTTTTTTCATTTTCGAAAAAAAAACGGTCAAGGAATATTTAAGTTTAAAAACCCATTTTTTAAAAAGTTTAACACCTCGTATCTTATGAAATAATTTTTATATTTTTCTTCGAACATTTTTTCTGAACACTCTGTATAATTGAGGGTTTATAGAAGATAGAAGATGCTTTAGTGATCTGTCATGACGTTTTAGAAGTAAGTAAATATAGGGTGATTAAAAAGCAACATTAAAAATTAAAATGAAAAAATCGTTAATTTTTTTTTGTGATCTCAGTGTAGAAATGCTGTGGAACATGGCGAAAAAAAAAACATTTGAGCGTTATCTAAACGTCACTTGTTGTGGGTTTGGAAACCGATTGTGACAGTTTTATGCCACCTAACTTAGTTACTTTTTATTGTTATGCTTATTTTAATAAAAGAAAAACTACAACTATTAAACTATAGGAAGTAAAATCTCTCATATTGACACTGACACGCGTCTTAATTTCTTGACGTCTCTATTATTTTATTTTCCCCGCAAAATTATACGTTTACGATGCCCGGTACCGGGTTCATTTTGTACGAAACGAATTCGCTGCAAGGTCCTTTGGCCAACGCGTTTTTGCTTTTGATTAACGCACTATTTTTTAACGTCAAGCTGATAGGACGACACAACGAATATCCCGACGACAAGGCAGAACGTTTGCTAAACGTAGATACCGGTTATAGAAGATTTTGTTCCGACCATTACGTTTTTCATTTTAGGAAGAACAAACCACATTCGATTTTATCATAGTTGGCGCGGGAGCCGCCGGTTGCGCTCTTGCCAATCGTCTCACCGAAGAAGATCAATGGTCCGTGCTTCTACTAGAAGCTGGAGATTATCCACCTATAAGCTCTGGAGTCCCCGCGTTTTTTCCAACTTTTCTGGCATCTTCTACAAACACGTGGGACTATATCATCGAAAAGGATAAACACGCTTGCCACGCCCATCGAGATAAACTCTGCAGAATCACCAGGGGTAGAGTCGTAGGAGGCAGCAGCTCCGTTAACAACCTCCATTATCGCAGACCGGCCAGAGTCGAACTGGAATACCTGGGAAACTATACCGACGCTATTTTCGATAGCATCGAGTTTTATGCGGATAAATTAACCAAAGGCGACATCTACCTCAAACGTTCCGAGTACAACGACTCGATTAAATCAGCTCTTAAAGACGTTTACGCTGGTGCTAGCTTCCAGGAAAGCAACGATAAGAGTCTACTGGGATACACCGAAAGCTTGTTGACGATAAAGGACGCTGAAAGGTTTAATCTGGCGAGGGCCTTCCTATCGCCGATCAAAAGCCGTTCGAAATTCTTCTTGGTAAAGGACGCGCTGGTCGAGGGCGTGGTCACTTCGGAGCCCATAAATAAACGGGCCGTAGGGGTTAACGTGTCCGTAAGCGACAAAAGGATCTTCGTTCGAGCCAGGAAAGAAGTTATCTTAACTGCAGGCGCTATCAACAACGCTAAATTGCTTCTATTAAGCGGAATCGGACCAAACGAATATTTGGACAAGAGGAATATTAAGCCAATAGCAAATTTGCCGGGCGTAGGGAAGAATTTACAGATGCACCTGATGGTGCCGATGTTTATTGGATTAAATAGCGATAGCCCGGAACACTACGAAGACCTGGATCTGATGAGGGACGTGTTTGAGTATGTTATTTACAAGCAAGGTGATTTCGCCCATACCGGAATCAACGACTTGGTGCTTTACATGTCTACCGAGGAATTTTCAAGCCAGCCCAACATAGCCATATACCACCACTATTTTAAAATGCAAGATAGGATGTTAGGGGAATGGTTGGATGGCTTCCAATTTCACCGGAAGGTAGAGGCCAAACTGGTATCGTACAACCATGAAATGGCCATTATTATGTTCATGGTAACTCTAGTAAGACCTCGGTCCAGAGGGGAGGTTGTTCTCAATGACACTCACCATTTAAGCAACCCGAAAGTTACCGGCCATTTCTTCAGCGATCCCGACGATGCTGACCTCGCTTCTTTAGTATCGGCATTTAGTTTAGTGACCAACATCAGCGCCGCTTTAAATGGCCGATTTTTAAACGTCGGTGTGCCCGACTGTGGTAATTATAAGTTTTGTTCCGAGCACTACGTCAGGTGCTACGTGCGCGGAATGGTCAGACCGAATGGTGACGTTAGTGGCACCACGATGAAAGGACCGGAATGCGATAGACACGCTGTGGTGAAGGACGATTTAGAAGTGAGTCGTGTGAGGTGTTTGAGGATCGCGGACTCGAGCGTTTTACCGTGGATTCCCGTCGGGAACACAGTTGGGGTGGACGCCATGCTCGGTATTCGGATGAGCGACATTTTGAAGGAGAAGTGGATCAAGGATTACAATCTTTACTGAAAAAAATCAGCGTTGTACACAGTGTTTAAAAATATATCAGCTATTTTGTAGAGTAAACAGAGAAATTTACTTTACCAACAAATGGAATATAGAAAGGCTCGAATCGAACCTACATCTGCGTGTAATTGAATTTTGTATTTTTTTTTCAACTTTTTTGCAATATACATATATACATGGTGCTTCACTTAATCAAATCGATCCGTTGGTTGTTTGTAAAGCGATCCTGACCATTGTGTGTGGATGTATAGTGGGTTGCCGTATATCTGGTTTGACGAAAGAAGTACGGTACTTCGCAGGCGGCGGTTTAAATTTTGTTCAAGGGCAGAATATCTGTAGCTCGATTTTTATATTAAAATCGAATTTTTATAGTAAAGTAAGCTTAAACTGTTACATGTTTGGGCAGGTACTGAAGATGCGTCAGAATTTGAGCATTAAGACGAAAATAAAAAATAAAATGTCTATTTCAATGGTCAAATTAGCAACAGTGTTTTAAGCAGCACTAGAACAATATGCAATATCAATAATGGATGGAAAAAAATCCCGACATTCGTGGACCAAGACATTTCAAGGAATTCTTCAGAAGTCTATCGGCCAAAATGGTAGATCCACTGGGACGTCAAAAGGCATCTAAGCCTCTAAGAAGAGTCGCACACGTAATATGAGAAAGTGACAGTCTATTGAAATAGAGGTTTTTTTTAGGAACGCTAAAACTTCAATAGATGCTTTAAATACTAGGGACCAACAGCCTAAATGTAAACTCTCTCGATTTGCAAATCTTCTGGATTGCTCCTATGTCGGTTGATGATGAATCGAACTTGATGAAGTTTCGCCAATCATTCTTCTTCTTCTTTAAAGCTTAACTGAAACTTAGCTGAATTCAAGTTAAGCTCCTTGAAGAAGCCAACGTGATGATTGCCGAAACGTCAGCAAGTTCCATTCATTATCAGAAAATGTGTAAATAATATTACAGTAGTCTGCGGAAGTTTCTTTGAAAAATCCCCCAATCCAAATCTTAAACGTTGGAATAGTTTTGTATAGGGTTACTGTGCAAGTTTGGGTAATATGTAGTCTCGTTTTTAGTACAAAATTTAAATTTTAAATGCACACTTTTCAAGGAGGTTATTCTACCCTGCCTAGAGTAGTTTTTCTCATTTTCTTTGAAAATTGTATCTTGGGGACAATAACGATCGAAATGTTAGTTCATCATTTTGGATGTTATTTGCCGTTTGCCAAGTAAAGGAGTTTCATTTAGAAATTTTACCAAGAGCCCGTATAAAAAATATTTAAAATATTAAAAGGGTCACAGCCGCCAAAATACAATTTTTAGAATCAAATAAAATAAGTAAATATACGAAAACGGTCCTACAGCGCGTAAAACAATTTGGTGAATCTACTTTTTTTTTTTAAATACCGGGCGTGCCATTTAAAAATTTCAAATTGCCCGTTTCAAATCTGAAATATTTATAGTTTGTTTCAACTTTTTTTTGTCACCCCGTATATAAAATTAATAAAAAAACAAGACACAACACCAAAATGTCAATATTGAACTTAAAGAATTCAAAAGTAGAATTTTTCATTTTTCGGTCATAAAATGATTTTTTTCCACTCTGGAATATCCAATTATGCACTTTAAGCCCCGTTAGTCACGGTCACTAGCCAAGAGGTTACTTTAACATTTGTCAGTATATAAACTTGAAATGCGTCTTTAAACTGCGGTTTATCAAACTTCTTACATGATAAGCTACTTGGATGATTTCGCACTGTGCCCATGTTTTTTTGATAAACCGTGTATAAGACGATTCATTCAAATTAATCGATCATCTGTAAGGCACATTTAGAAATTCTTTCACAACGTCGGTGACAATTGCAAATAATAGAATTTGCACCCAATTGCCACCTCAATATGTATGCAAATATGTATTTTGAAATTGACGTAACATTTTCTTTCCTACGACAAACGTTTATATGTCGTGGGAAAAGTTTTTCTCGCGAACGAGTCGACTAAATTCGCTTAATTCGAAACATAGAGATTAAAAGTGTGCAAAACTAATCATTTATTACGCATGAGATCTTAGCTAATACGAAAGCCGTTTTCAAATTTATAAACATAAATTATTACATTCGGTGAAATATTTTACGAAATCCGGTCAATTTTGTAAATAACGGAATTTTTATGCATTTCGCACATTAATGGATTATCGAATTCGTCCAAATTGTACAGTAATGAGCCAATTGACGGCGCAGCAACCAGTACTGCATAAAAACTTGATGGCATCTGTTTTTTTTATATTTCACTTGCAGGTGGTGTGAAGCAGTAAACCCTCCCTGCATATGCGACAGGACAATATGCTCGTCAATAATATTCAAATTTTGGTTTTGAAATTTTTAACTTTTTATCAAATGCAGGTAGGGCCAATTTGCCCATTGTTATCCATTACAAAAATTACCATAAATATAAGGAATGCGTGAGTACGGGATGTACAAAGAAATTCAAGAAAATTTTATTTTGACAAGTAAAAATTACGTCAAAATTTAATGTTTCTGGACTACACCTACGGGCTTTATTACAAATAAATAAACAAACAAATAATGACTTTATTCAAACAGTTCCAATAATTTAGGTTATTTATTATTCGGGGCTTATATTGCAAAGCAAAGCTCATTTTCAACATAGCCATCGGGAAAGGGAAACAAAAAAGTCAGATTAAATTTGCAAATAACGTTTAAGGAATAAGAATTATTTTTTTCAAATAAGTTGGGAACAGGAAGAAAATCCGAATTAGATTAAAACATTCAAAAACAAGAGAAAATGAAATTATGAAATAATAAAATATGAGTATGGGTGGTATATACAATGAAATTAAATAATACTTTTATTTTACGAAGTAAAAATTACATTAAATTTAATTTACCATTTACATTAAAATTAATTACCTTTTTATGCCTAATGTTAAATGCCTATGGCCAATACCAGACTTAATGGTTTAATAATGAAATAGGAAACAGCTTTATATATTGCCAGTTTATATAAAAACACCTAATAGCCATTATATCTTTGAGTTAAGTTCAGCCAGCCAGAATTCTTGAGAGTATACGATCTGTGATCAAACTTACCTAATCGCCGTATCGAATACATGAGTTTTGGTTAGTTTGAAGCATTTGACGCCTCTCTTGATGCCTATTAATTATAAGTATAAGAGTGTCAAGGGTGATTTAAGTTTATACGGGCCCTAACAACTAATTGTTCGGACGATGTACGAAATAATAAGAAAACATATTTATACTTTTATTACATTTAAATTGATTTTTTTTTGCCTTTTCGATTGAAAAATGAAATCACGCACTTATTTTTATACCAACAAGTGTTATCGTAATGAATTAATTTTTTATTTCACATAAATTGCATAACAAAATATCAAAAACCTACCGAATTTGCTGACAAATAAATATTCGGACGCATTTAAATCTTTTACTTTAAATCGAACATTAATAAGAAGTAACATCACCTTTCGCGCCAATCACAGCTTTTATGCGTTTTGGAATGGAATCTACCAAAGTCTTGAAATATTCGGGGGTGAAAGTGTTCCAAATTTCGGTGATTTCTGCCTTTAATGCTGGAACTGTACGCTGAGGATTGTTACGCAAAGTCTTTTTCATCCAATTCAATAATATTCAAGTCGGGGCTACTCCACTTTTTTGTTGTTTTCTCAGTATAACAGGACGCACCGTCTTGTTGAAATATAACATTTTCATTTCCAAAAGTTTGCTATTGATGGAATCAAACTTCTGATAAAATTTGTTGGTATTTTTCTGCATTTACAGTACAGTAGTTGCCAACCCCTTTACCACTCATACATCCCATATCATAACACCCTGGGGAAATTTTACCGTGCGCTTTAGACAATCTTTGTGAAAGGCTTCTGATTTTGTACGAATCACCTTTTTTTGAAAATCGCTTACTCATACATCAAATTTTGATTCGTCGATGAAGATAACGTTACTCCACGTTTCCGTTGTCCAGGATATTTTAGATTTTGCCCAATCCAAACGTTTTTTCTTCTGAATAGACGTTAATAATGGTTTTTCCTTTACCTTTAACAAAAGTAGATCATAGAATATTAATAATTTTTATACTGAAACAAAAAAAATTGTAAACTTACCTTACTCAAACCAGACTTATGCATCCATTGTCTACAATATTCCCTAGAGACATTGAAGTTCGCCTCGTGATTCCATTGGGCTTGAATTTGTCGTAAATCTTGACCAGAATACGACGATCTCTTTCAGTGATTTTACGGGGTCGGCCTGAACTTTTGCCACGAACGCTAACACTAGCTGTCTCTCCATACTTTTTTTATAGTATCCCCGACTGTTGATTTTGCAATACTCGAGTTATTTGAAATTTTTTGCATTGATTTACCTTTGCAGTATTGAGATATGATAATTTCTCGCACTTTTTTGTTTGTTGCAACACCACGCGTCATTTTCTTATCAACTATTATACAAACTTGAAAGATACAACCCGAACTGACATCTCATTTTTGGTTTTTTGATTTTTTGGTCGATAAACATTCGCGAACATTTATTTGTCAGCAAATTTGGTATGTTTCCGTTATTTTGATATGTAATTCATGCAAAATAAAAAATAATTCAGTACGATAGCACTTTCTGTGCTATCGTAACGTGCGTAAATTGATTATTCAATCGACAAAGCAAAAAATAAATAAATAGATATAAAAAAATGCCTTTTTTTTATCATTTTTTACATCGTCCGAACATTTAGTTGTTAGGGGTCGCAATATGACTTTCGTCAATATGTTATCAATATATGTATTAAAACTGTCAAGTAGAATCAATAAAAAGATCAAAATTTTTACAAGACAGTGATGGCAATATTTTTCCCCCCTTAAAAATATGTTAAATTTGTTACGACTAGTGACAATTTCATGTCTGCTTATGGGATATATTAATTCGTCTAAATTGAATAAATAAGAAACAGAATAAAGCCTACAACTTTTACTATTTACAAATCTTCTGGATTTCTCTTGGGTCGGTTGTTTATAAATCAAAATTGCTGAAGTTTCGCCAGAGAGTTTAGCTCTGAAGGAGTCTGGTGGTTCGACACGCTGGACAATTTACAATAACATATATAATATACAGTTTACTACAGATTAATAAAAATATTATTATTCTAGTCTATCATTCGATCTAGAGAATTCAAATGTCCAGGAATCTATCTTCACTTCCAACGTTGTACTACTATTAGTCTTGTACAATTTCCTCCTTCAGCCTTCCATGAAAACTTGAAGAGGATTAATAATATTGTTATATTGGCGCATTTCTGTAAATTCATAAGGTCATCTCAATGTAAAAAAAATTGTTCCTCATCATGCCGGATTCCTTTACAAATATCAAAACTTTTTTAAAAGCTACAAACTTATTTTCATTTTTATCTTGCTCACAATGAGACCTGGGTCTTTTGTTGACAATAAGATTTAGAATCTTCTCATTTCCAGTAGAGAATCTCGAAATTCGGGATCATAGTTTTGTAGTAAAGCCTCCCTAGGGTAGGTCATAGCCAATTTAAAGTTTAATTGAAAAGTGATTTTGTTTTACTCGTATACAAAATAAATTCTAGACAAGAACTTTTCGAAATCTAATAAGCTTTAATAGCGTTTTTCAAGGTGGAAAAAGTTGAGAGTCAAATTGCATGTTAACGCTGAAAGAAGCTCTCCACTTTCATTTACATCGTGAAGCCGTTTTAAAATAGTAGTGACAAGTTCGACAGCTGTTGGGGGACCTTGAATGCGAGAAAACTAAATTATGAGTAACGTCCGATGACTTATAACATATTAAACGTCGCAGCAAATTTCGAATTTGTTTAAATGCGCGCCAGTCCTTACTTGTGTTGCTTCGTGAATAATAACAAAGACATTACCGTAGAAAATGTTTCTCCTACCGGTATTACACAAATTTCACTGTTGTCTTCTCCCATAACAATTACCGTTATTACGTAAGCTGGAAAGAATAATTTATCAATTTAACGGTCGCTTTTATTTAAATTAAGTCACCTACTATACCAAATACTATTAATATACTAAATACAGAGGGGCCCATCACCCGGTGAGATGGCATTTCCACAATTTTTTTTGGGATGTGGTTGGTAGCAAATTGGGTTAAGTTTTTATGGGTGCTTGTATAACGGGGTTAAGTTTTTAAAACACTTTCAATATACAAGGTGGTCTCAAAAATCTAAGTTTTTTTAAATCATTTTTTCACGCAAAAAGTTTTCGCTCTCCTCGTGACTTATAGCGTCATGTGAAAACAACTGACAATTGAAATATCGTATTTGATCTATGACCTACTTTTATTATAAGCGAAAATAAAGTTTCAGTTTTTTGCTCATAACGGATACACCCGGTACAATATCGAAAGAACAGTGCAAGCCCACAAATCATGAATCTTCAAGTTCAATTTTCTCGAGTTTTATTAGGAGCGTGTACTTTTGCTAATAATAGATTTCCTTCATTTTGCGTTAGTAAAGTAAGTAACATTCTAAAAACTACAGGTTTTTGTGTTTTTTCAAGGGCCTGATCAGGCGGATCTTCATTTAATGAGTTCATCAATGTTTCGGTGAGTCTGGTTAGACAAAAGAAGTGTTGATCAGGATAATGGCGGGTGAATTATTCGAAAAACACACTTTTAGGGAGGTTGATATACTTCCTTAAGTGTATTCAAATAGCCGAGCTTTTGCTCGCCCATTTTCCATGCAAATGGGTAAAAACAGCAGTATAAACTAGTCTAACTTAGCCCCTATAAGCATTTATATAAGCTTTTTTTTTAAATACAAGCTCTAAATAGTTAATGAATATTATAAAAAGAAAAACAAGCAGTAATTGAGATACTCAAAATATTGGCGGTTTCTATAATAATTAAAAAAGACAATATTTTGCATGTTTTTTGCAGCGTTCTTTATATTGATACAACTATCCCTTACGAAAAATAGTGGTTTTAGGTTATATCGAAATAATAAAACCATAGAAACAAACTCCAGGACCCCTTTAGTGTCAACATGCTTTTCAACTTTTCCTGAAAGTTGAGGTTCGTTTGAAGTAGATTTTTTTTGGACAACCTCCGAAAAATAGCCTACTTAAAAAATCAAAGGGTACATTAAAATATCCTGGAGAAAACAAGAAATCATCGACCATTAAACATATTCAATTTAAAGATAATTTGATAAAAAAAGAACTACTACATTTAGCACAATTACAAAAGCGCTTATTGTTGTTGGATTACTCAAAAGCTTTCGACAAAATCAATCACGAAGTTCTATTGTGCTGCAGTCTTTTTTATGCGTAATTACTGTACTGACCGCTTTCAGTTTGTTGCAACATATAAAGTAGTACTGTGGGGTACCCCAAGGCTCAATATTAGGGCCTCTCCTTTTTAATATTTATACATGCAATTGAAGTAGTTGTTTACAGGACTCCAAAATTCATTCCTTTGCTGATGATACCCAAATATATGAATTATAGACAAGGATATCAAGCGCGTTGAAGTGTTGTTAGACTCGCATCAACTAGAAATAAATGCTACCAAATCTCATCTTATGTTATTTGATCAATCCAAAGAGTTAATTAGATCTTACTTTCTAATATGCGTTTGATAGACACAGTGTTGTCGAAACAATTGTCATGTGAAAATATAATAATGATTTGCGTCTCAAGTCCCACGTAAATAAGAGTTTAAAAAACATTTATCCCAGTGGTCACCTTTTAAAAAGTAACCTTAAAATTAATTAACCTTAAATAATTAAATTAAATGAATTCGCCCGTACTTTCTCAATTTAATTATGCAGATGCGGTTTGTGGTCCTTGTTTGGATCAAGAAGTTGTACACGATTGTGTCTACCATTGATCTAGAGTGTCAGGCGACGTGATCGCACATCGTATAAACTCAGTGACGCAAATTGGCTATCAATGGAAAAATGTCGATAGTTTCATGCAGTCGCTTGTTATCATAATATCTATCTCTTATATCTCTTTGAACAAATAAAATACCGAACTGATATTCACACTTCACAATCTTCGATATAGGGCTCTTATTTCTCCTCCCGCATCGTAACGTATTGCTTGAAAGATCCGTTTCCCACTGTGTCTATAAATGGTATAATGCTGTTCCCAATACCGTAAAGAAACGGATGCCCACATCTTTTAGAAAAAATTATAAAACTTTTTTTTTATAATTAATCTATTAGTCAAAGATAATTAATTAGCGAAGTAGATTTCTATTAATAAGATGCTGTACAGTATTGTTTTTTTATGTATTCATGTTAATGAATTGATATATTCAGTATGTATCATAATATGTTAAGATATAAGTAGCTATGAAATTAGGGACCGGACTTTGATCTTTTTTCAAATTGTTTCCCAGTTCCTTTTCTTTGCGCTGTGCTTTTATTTTACTGCTAATAGGTAAATGTAAAGACGAAGTGCAAAATATAAACACATATTATTATTATTACTATTACCAAGCACTGTTTTATGCCACAACATTGTGTATAGAAGTTATGTGTACGCAAGTGAAGGTTTTGTAGTAAAAGACAACATGAAGTTCAAAATGAAAGACCTTGAGTTACTGTTGTATCGTCAGGGAACTGCGGAAAAGCGGTCCAGAATGTCATTCAAGAAAAGCAGAAAATGGGGGATCTTGACCACCTAATTATAACGTCAAGAGTAGACAGTTCCTCTGATGACGAAGAATATTATAATTTTTTATAATTTAATTTCTGTATAATGTATTTTTTTTGTACAATATTTAATTAAAAAGAAGGGTAAATAGTAAAATAAAAAAAATATATATCTATTGGTGCTACCAGCACTCGATAAAAAGAAACAATTTGGCATGAAAGTCACGCTAAACAATGAAAGTGGCTCACGTATTCATTGGGTCATTCTGTAGTCCATTTCAACCATTGGATACTTATCATATACACCCTGTATATGTTGTTGAAAATAATTTGCTCTAAATTTAATTTGAAATTGCTTAGCGAAAAGTCACATCGAGTTGCAAACCGTTGCAAAAGTAGACGTCACTTTTTTCATATGCCTCCCTCTCCGTCGCAACGTGAACTATTGAACTTGTTGTGTGGCGATGATACGCGTAATTTCGCAACGTCAAACTTCTTAATTGACTCGACTGGTCCTTTTAAAGAGCCATTCCGATGGCCAAGTCTTCGCTGGTCGAAAGCCATATTCCTTCAGTTCGATCTTTAACTTTCACCGAGAACGGTGCTCGAGTGTAACGTATGCCGATAATAGCGTGCGGTGTTTTATTCAGAGAACTCGTTTATTGTTGCTAATTTGAAATATCGTGTTTTGGTTAGTTTTCGTGGATGTCGAACCGCAAAAGGCACATTTAGGTAAATTTTACATTTATTTTATTTAATTTTCAATGTCTTAAATTTACGTATTCGAGCTGTTTGCTTTATTATTTATTTATTTATTCACAAGGTGATTATCCTTTTACAAATTGTAACGCGAAAATCTAGTTTTGAAACTAACTAATTGAATGTGAATATTTATAGGGGGGGCATTTTTCCGACCTTTTTGACAACTTCATATGAGCGTATGCGCCAAAGCTCTTAGCTTTTCAGGCAAAGGACGATTTTTTTTTAAATTAAATCAACTATGAAGTTTTCGTTTTAAAATGAACCCAGACGTAACTCCCATTCATGTAAGGAATATTTTGCCTAAAAAGTAAGTCGGAGTAAATTTTGTACATATTAAGTCTGCTTGCCTTACTATTTATTGATGTAACGATTCTCATACCTGAAAATTTTATTTGGGAATTAGGGATGGGTGTACATTTGAGTTGCAGACTTAAATAAACTGCTTGTATTGTCATAGGACGTAGGTTCAATAATTGTTTTAAAAGGGATTGTCTTATGTTGTGCAATGTTTATTATGTTGATTTACTTTCCATTAATTATATTTTCTAACATTCTAACAACTAGATGGTTTAGTTGGCAAATTACAATATCAAAATCAAAGACTGCACCAGATCAAAATATAATAATGCATTTAAATTGTGTTCTGAACTGCAGTCGTCCTTAACAATTTCGATCAGATTACACTCAAAATCGGATTAGCTGGTAATTATTGGATCGAAAACTATGTCAAACCAGTAAATATCAACTTAAAATGTAATTTTGTAGGTTTTTATAGTTGATTTCCATCAAACACCCGACCAAAATCAGCGTTGCCCACACTGACTGTAACAAAATCTACAAATATGAACTAAAAACCTCTCTAGGTTCGACAGTAACCCTTTCTTGACGATTTCCGTAAAATTTTAGTCAATATCGGTTTTTGCGCCATTTGTACTGAAAACATCAACCTACCAGTAGATGGAGCTTTTTCTAGTCGATTTCAGTCAGATACCAATCGAAATCGGCTTTTCCGAAACTTATTATACCAAAATCTACATGAAATCTACAACTAACCATGGCCCTTATTATAAAATCATCATTATTTTCAATAATATCACAATTTTCAATGAACTTAATATTAGCTTATTGCGAAAACAGGAATTCGTTTGATCTAAGTATAGACAAATCTCTCCATATAAAAAAAAAGACTAGACTAGAACAACAGCTGCAAGCAGATAAAGTAATTAAATATTTTAAATTTTAGTGCCTCCTAGATGAATCATAGGATGCAAGATTTACAAATAGTGGGGAATTTTGAAGCAGGACAGATTGCTTTCAATAAGTATTGATAATTATTATCTCACACGTTCATTTTTGGAAGTTGCATTTGCTCTTCTTATGTTTTTCAGTCACTTGAAAATCATCTGTTATCAAGTATTTTAAATACATTTTTCAAGCAACATAGAGATTATGATTGGACTGGAAAATGTTTCGATACGTATAGAGTCTACGTGACGATTCGGTTTACGAAATATTTCTGAGCGCTTGCGGCAAGGTATTCACACAGGTATTTACGCAACGCTATCTATTAAAATAATTTGACTGTATCGCGATTTAAATTTTGAAACGAACTGTGAATGGAATCAATAGACGCTTAACCAATATTGTCCCAAGTATAAAAAAAAATTAAAAAAATACTTTTTTGCTCTGAAATTATTTATTTTGTTGCACTTAGGAATACATTACATGTGTCAAAATAAAATAAAAACTTGACACATACAAAAAAGTACTGGTGCGTAAACGAACTACTGGGAAAAAAACATTAAATAATGTTTTGGGGCACATAAGATGTAACATATAATTTATACATAAATATACAAAAGAAAGTTCAAATTCCACAGAAAACAACTAAAAGTAGATTGTTTTCCAAATAGAAGCTGATTTGATACAGAAAAACGCATAATATTTTAGGATACGTGAGCGCGCCCCTGGTTACACCCGGCTTCATTTTTGGTGATATTTTACAAAGTATGAAGTATGTAAATGCACATTACACTTATGAAAAACGTAAATTGTGTGGCTGTGGCAGATTCTACATCTTCTTCGGGCTTTATTGGCATGATTGACCTTGATTATCATAACGGACTTCATCTATGGCAGGTGTAAGATTTCTTTGAGTAATTGTTTTATCAGTTTTTAAAAGTCGCAAAGCAATGTAAGATTTAAAATCAAATCAACCACTTCGTCATCAAAAAACATAAAAAATATTTCAAGCGGAGTTTTTCCAGAAAGCCTATTTTTTAGTTCCTCACATGATCTAAATTCATTGGATATAGGTGTGTGAGTGTACTCAATCTGACCTTTCTGCCATTTGACAGTAGAAGCAAGCTTGTCGTTTGCAAAAAGCATACGTCTTCTTTTGAATTCCAGAGTTTCATCATCTGATGAGTCCCATTCAGCAGCTGATGAAACTCTAAAGTTCCAACTATATCAGTTGGTTCCCCAAGCTCTTGTAGATTTATGTTATCGTTCATGTCTTCTTCGTCAGTCAAGGTATGCACATCGGGTGGAATATAGACCGCGTCAATATGTTCTGCAAATATTTTTTCACGTTATTTTTAGCATAAATTTGCAAGGAATGGAATGCTACAATACATAAGAATATGTAAATCCAAATAATACTTACGACTTTCATTGTTATTGTCCTCATCCATCACGATCTCCTCCATAGCCGCCTCTAATTCCTTTTGAGTCAAATACCTCGGAAATGCCATATTTTACTAACTGCAATGTTCAGGGCACAAGGCACAAACTAATACTAAAGAACACGCTAATTGTTGGATGTTTATTCTAAATGCGCTGACTTGTCTAGACTTGAAATAACAAAGTTTTGTTTCACAGATAAAACCAGTGGTGCATTCACGCACCAGTAAATATTTTCAGAAAATAAAGCATAGTCAATATAGTATTTCCAATATATGTTTTCTGCAAAAATGGCAATACAAATCCAGAATATTTTTTTTTTACTATTTTGAAGTCATATATAAGATCTTTCCTTTACACATAAATTACCGATTTCTACGGTTTTATTTCCTTTAGTAGTGATAATAATAAAATTTCTAAATGGATGTGTAAAAATATTTCCTAGATGTGACAAAAAAAAATTGAATAGGTGGTGCATTAACGCAACAAATAGGACAAAATGGGTTAACGAAAAGTTAAACAGCTGGGCAGTTAGTTGGAGTCTACAAAAAAAAATTACGACCTTTTGAAATGGCTATATTCTTCGGTAAACATTGCAAAAGTCAATATTTATTTTGTCCTCTTCAAATTTCCGAGTGCCACAAATCGATTCCCCGAAGAAAATGATCGTAAAATTTGCCAATGTTTAACCAAAATGTTGCAATCGTATGCCTGACCACGCCCAGCCATTCAGATTTACTGGGATAAATGAACTTCTGACCCGGAGAAAAAATAATTCGCAAGTCCTTGAAAGCGCAAGAAAAAGGTACTAGAATGGAACCGAGTATAATTAGTAATCAGATCACGTTGCACTAAAATTGCGGAATATAAACAACCAAGCGATTGGCAATTTGTAAATGATCATTAGCAGTGTGATCCGCAAATACAGTTTAAACTAAATTTAATCTGTGTCAATGGCTGTTATTGTGCCAATGTTAATATCGCTCGTGTTATCTAACATTTACAAGTTTCATTTTTGAAACAGTCAATGTGGGGCGATCAAGTAAGAGGAAATGATCAACTTTAAGTAGCCATTTAAGTCACCAAGCTTTTATTTTTCTGCTATAAAAAGGCTAAAAGAAACTACCTCGGTTATATACTCGAATGTCAGCTTTCTCGAAGTTTCTAACATAAAACTATGGATGCGAGTATAATATTGAAATAAAAATACGAACGCTTTTAATTAAAGAAAAAAAGAAGAGAGTATACTAAAACTTGAATTTTTTAATTTTTATTATTTTAATTTTTATATGTCCTTGCTTTTATAATATTTCAACAAACTCACAAAAAGGGACATCTTCGCCTTTGTAACTTTTTTTCAAATATTCATAAAAGCCACATGTTGTCTGTTTTTGATCCGATAGGCTCCCTTGTTCTAATACACACATACTATCGAAATAAGGAGTTTGTAAGCTGATATGTCTAATTAACGAAATTAAAACGGTTCATTTTAAATTGTTGTCAAAATATTAATAAGATACGTTTGTTTAAGTGGTTTTAAAAAATTCTCTACTTAGCGCCTTTGACAACGATATGCGACATATACGATGAAACTCATGAAAATTTACGATATTAATTTAGCCAAAACAACACTAACGTCTTCTATTCATGTTTTTATTTAGGTATTTTGAAATTTCAAACAGCTGTAGCAAAATATAATTGCATAACAACCACACCAGCAACCATAAAAAAAGGTGTTTGATCGTTTTATCCCCAATACTCTTTAATTTATACTCTGAACGTCCAAGATCAACGGTATAACGCTTAACGATCTTAGATACGCGGTATTAGTGGATATCCCAGAAATTCTGCAGCGTTTTCTAAATCAAGATCAAGATCTGCAGTCACTTTTCTTATGTTGGTCGTTGGTATGCTTGAAGTATTTTTTCATCTACATTAGCAGCATATTGGTTCCTATTGAAAGACATGACAACAAGTCTATTGAGATGCAGATGCAGAGCGTCAAGACGTCTCTATATGGAAAGTCGATACGGCCATGTATCTCTCTAATGCAGAAGTAAACATGGTTTCCATTATACACCCGTCTAAAAATCTTACTGGCGCTTTCCTACTCATTTCTTTATAATTTGAAATTACAAAACTAAAAAAATTGATTTTTATTTAATTTTTCCTTAATGTCCTTAATTTTGTCGTATATAGCAATAAGTTGAAAAGTTTGCATTGTATTTATTATTTTTTTAACATCAAGTTAAAATGAGCCTTAATAATTTTTTGAACATTGTCATTAGAAATGTTAATCATGATTTCATTAGAACAAAGACGCCTCTTGGATCAAAAACACACAAAAGTAAGTTTTCTAAATATTGAAAAAGTTACATATGCGAATTTTAAATATTTAATATTAAATTAAATATTACAAAATGAATATTACAATAGAATCGGGAACGTTTAGGACACAGATTTATAAAAAAAATTCTTCAAAAAGTCGTTTGACTACTGTTACCCATAGTTAGATTATTATTATTATTATTATTATTATTATTATTATTATCCACACTAACAACATTTATACTTTCAAAAGCTTTTTTTAAGTACAACGGGGTTCAGTCCTTATGTAAAAAATTGTTTTACTTTTGTTCCTCTTTTTTGTAGAATCTAATCTTTCTTCTTTTCTGCCTTTTTGCTTCCTATGTTAGTTTTACTTGTAGCTCAATTTTCGTGTTTGTATGTTTTGTCGATTGTACTATTCCTTTTTATTTCTTGATAAAGCCCTATCTTTAATTTTTTTCCCTTTTTTGTAGAATCTTAGGGACACTGCCGTTTCGTGGTTTGGACTTTCTTCTTTTCTGTCTTTTTGTTTCCTATGTTAGTTTTACGTGTAGCTTAGTTTGAATGTTTTGTCGATTGTACTACTAGGTCCTTACTTATTTTCGTGTTTCTCATTTTCTCCATTTTTGTGTAATTTTGCTTTTTTGTTAATTAGTCGATGTTCATGATTCACAACCATGTAATTGGTCTTGAAGCCTTTGTAGTTATGAAGTTTTATTTATTGCATAGGACAGTTTTAATGTATTTTGTATTTTGTTATTATCTTCTTTTCCTGATTTCCGTTGTTCTCTACTCCTATCAAAATGTATATATTATATATAAAACCATAAGTAAACCTTTGATTATTAGTAAAAATTTGTCTCAAAGATGACGCTGAATAAAATCAAGCTATATTCTCGCATTGTTAATGATGTTCATGTATTACAAATTAATCAATTGTATCAGCAATAAGATTTTCCTGGAAAAATCAATGGACCGGCTAAAAACAATACATTATCATTAACAGGCACCAAAATTACGTGGTTAGTTTGGCCAAGTTTTAACAAAATCGACCAATATGCTTTTGATTAATTCTTAACAAAAAGGTTTTTCTAAAATCTTTGTTTATGATTAAAAAAAAAAAGAAACAATTATACGCGTCTGGCAGTATAACACTGGGGGTCACCCTATATAGTCGCAAAATCAACCAAAAATTGGTTTTGATGCCGGCAAATCTAGTCGAAATTGTGTAACTGGCAAACTTTGAAAGCAATTAAATTACGAATAAAGAAGGGAAAAACGTATAAATCTGCCAAAGGAACAGAGAAAGTAATCACAGTGGAATAAAAAACTACATTTGAAAGTAGACAATCGGTAGTTTTAAAATAGGTTTCCGGAGGTAATACCTAGTGACAGATCGAATACGTTCGATTGATTTTCTACGCGACGAAAGACAAAGGTAAAAAAAACCGCTCATTTAAAATCGGACCTCAATTGAAATTGGGTGTTTACATCAATTTTATTTATTTTTAAAATTTTTTATGAACACACAAACATGAAATTTAAAAGAAAAGGAAAATAAGAAATTTTAATATTGCTCTTTCGACCTTTTTTTAGACCACTTTTTGTTTATTTTAATTTGTTACCTACCCTGTTTAAAAAAAAAGTTTTACTTTAATTTTGATGTGTCAAATTTTAATATCTTTAGAGTTAACGTGGGAAGCACCAATAATACCTGCTTGGAATCCGCAATAAAATGCAATCGCCGATCTTATACGATCCCACACTAGCCTACATGTTCAGTCTGTTTGCATTTTACTTATTGAAAGTCACCGTTATATAATCGATAAGAAAAAAAAGATTTGCGCTGACCTGAATTGCGTTGCATACAAACATATACATGCTTGTTATTTCTTTCTGGACCATTTACTTTCAAACCAAAACAAACTCACAAAATATGTAATTATCCTGCTCAAGTGAATTAAGAAATACCCACTCGTATTTTATCGGCCTTGAGAGACTCTCTTTTTTGAACGGGTTATTTTTCTAAGTGGCTTCTTGGGAAAAATAAGCCTTTTTTTCTCTACACCGTTCAATATTTTGAATCCGATAACGGGAAGATTTAAGACAAATCGTAAGTAGAAAAAATAAAAGGAAGAGCGAGATGACTTCTTGGTACAATTGTATTCTTCTTGGTCCTATTTTCTTTTACAAAACTGGAAACGCCGAAAGTATATAACTAGTAGTTTATAAAAACTGAGGATTTTCCACCATGAATATAAAAAAAAATCAACTAAACCAGATGGCAATTTCAGTGAATTTATTGTCACAAGGCCAACCCAACCCACACTAGACTATGGTGGTAATAATCGAGAGGCGACAACAGTGTGGATTAATTTCGATGCCAATTATTTCTTCTGAACTTCTTGATAATCGGGTCTCCATAAATGTATCATCCCCAAAATTATAAAGAAGCCAGCAAAAAGTACATTTTTTTAATTTTATAGATAAATAATGCTCATTTTCAAGCAATATCAAACCTATCAACCTTTAAAACATTTATACATTGATTTATATTCTTATATTTTGAAAATTATTTATGATAGATAGCCTCACATAACCTGCTATCGTAGAATAGTTGCTTGATTTCAGAAGAATCCACACTTAATTTGGTATTTACCAAAATAATAAAATTGGTAGAATGATTTACTAAATGCACTAAGGATTTTCCTGGATTATTTTAACTATTTTTGGCGGTTAATATCTAAATAGCTTTTGCCTGTGAATGCATTTGAAAATTGATTTATACCGTGTTTGCTGGACTTCCTCAGGAAATGGTTAGTGAGTTCCATCAAGCTTCCTTATCCTACATTGATTGTATTGAAAAGTATTAGATGTGTTTACTGCGTTTGATTAAGTGCCGAAAGTAATCATTGAGAATTTACGGATCCAGAGTTGGAAATTTCTAATATTTGCAAGTATGTAATGTCGAACTGAGCAAAAATTTTGGAGTCTGAAGGATTTTTGATACAACAAAATGGAATAAAAACAAACCCATAGGAAACAGGAATAGAACAAGGCCAATCCAATAATAATGACGTATTTGAAAAATAAATATAATGTTTCATTTTTTAAAATAAAGAACAAAAAATCAGAAACTATTGAAATGAAGCATTGGGAACCCTGACCGAACCTAACGTGAAAATTTCTCAAGAATCCAAAAATAAATTTAGACAGACGGCGTTAAATTTCAAATAAGGAGCGACATTCGGTACAACTGTAATTTTTTAAATGATAGAGAATCTGGAGTAGCCCTGGGATGCAAAAATTCAGTAGTTTATCTTAGCCGTCTAAATTATTATATAAACTTTATGATCAAACTCCAGCTGAAAATTTAGGAGGGCAGAGAATTTGTGAAAATCCGGAGAAATGACCGCTTCGTAAAGCAAAAAAGGGTTGACGAACCAGTGAAAAAAAATTGCATAATCCAAATCCACCCGGGTCATTTCGGTGCCGATAAAGTAGACCGCCGTTTAAAATTGAAGCAATTAAGTACCGAATTGGTGGAGCAACGCGTGTATATACGAAACGCTCAGCTTAATTGGATTACTACTTATGTAATTGACAATTTTTATTGATGCAACCGTCGACATTACTTTCTTTTTAATTTTAGCGGTCGCGTAATGATGGGTACTAACTGTGACTTCCTTTTCTTACAGCTCGGCAACCATGGAAACGGACCCGGAACTACTAGTTGATCGTCACAGAGCCCCACCGACTTTTCTCACAAATTTCGGAATCCGCAAGACTTTTTGGTGCCTATGAGGACGTGGTGCACGCTATAACATTCTGCCAAAGACTCTATCTTAGTCACTAATTAACTTATTTTAAATCTAGTCACGTTTTAATAAGCAAAATGGCCGTCATAGCGGTACCTACTGTAGCGACGGCGGTCAAAGCCGGAGTAGCACTTATTGGAGCCGGGAAAATTGCCGTGTTGCCCTTTTTGATAGCAGCTCTAACTTACTTTCACTACGATCAGTTCGATCCCGAGAACAGACCTATCGAACGCAATGTTCTTGATGACACGTACGACTTTATCGTGGTGGGATCGGGAAGCGCAGGCTCTGTCGTCGTGAACCGACTCACGGAAGTACCGCAATGGAAGGTACTGCTTCTAGAGGCCGGAGGTCACGAGACAGAAATATCTGACGTCCCAATTCTGAGCTTATACTTGCACAAAAGCAAATTGGACTGGGGATATAAGTGAGTACTGTGCTCGCTGTCCCACAGAGAAGCGAACACAGAGGAGAGACAAAGCCTATAGGAACCTTTGATGTTAAAGTGCGTTCACACTATCTGTTTTTCTATTTGATTTTTTATTCGTATTTGTATCGTCACACCATTAGATTTAACATTTGACATGTCCGTTGATAATATTTTATATTCGTTTTGTGTTTTGTTTACTGATAAAACTTTTATTATTGGTAAAATCGATCATCCAGAACCAAATGCCAAACACCAAAAAAATGAGAGTAATAAATTTAGCAATGAAGTAACAAGGAAGGTGTTAATTATATTTTCGTCCATAACTAGGGTTACGACAAAAAACATTAACATTAATATTAAAGAGCAAATAACATCAGATAACGTGAACGTCAAAATTAGTATTCTCGAATGGAAAATCAGATGGACAAGCATGTAATATAAACACCCTTTTAGATAAGATTCGATACACTTACCGAGTGGTATCTGTTTATAATTTCTTTGAAAATTCTAGATTAATTTCATATATAATATAGTTAAGTTTTCATGTCAAGAGTGACGTTTGGAGGTCTAAATACATATATCTAGCAATTTCTCCGACTTAAAACTTTTAGAATGACAGCAGGGAGTCATTTTAAGTATTTTTATTAAATGTTAAGAGGGGTCATGTGATTTCTCCTTTTAAAAGTCTTTCCACGGTCTATTGCATACTAATTTGTCACACATTTGATTCGACAGTTGTGGTAAGACAAAAAAAATAAAAAGAATCATTTTTAATTACAATTGAATGTAATACAAATATCGATAATAATTATTGTAAGGTTGCATGTGAAATCAACATTAGAGAGCGCCAAGTCATGTTGACATTATTTTTGACAGACTTCATTATTGTCAAAATGCACAAGGTGATAATTTCGAACATTTAATAAAATAGTTGATAAAATGATGGAATTATTTATTTTTTCAATTTAAGCTACGGTTGAGTAATAGAAAAGTAGTAAAACATTTGCAAGCATTCATTTGACTGTCTTGCAAAAACTGATGAATGTTTTCAAAATTGGTATGCGAATGGAACTTTTAAAAAGAGGCATCAAAGGATCTCCTTGACAATTAAAAAAAATCTTAATTATATAAGTGAATGAAAAATTTCACAGTAGAAGGGTACAAAAAATAAAAATAAAAAAATAAATACGGGATTATTAAAAAAACAATTAAAAATGTAAATGTAAAAATCAAAAAAAACACTCGGATACTACAGAAACGTCAGATTTTGGCAGTAACTTAGTAATTTTAATTAAAAAATTATCTCCAGTCTATAAAACGTTGTTGGAAAAAATGAAGAAAATAGAAATAGTATGGCATATGACAATGACAGTAAATGACAATATTTTACCCGAAATAAAATGAATTTAAATAACTTTTGTGTTAGAAACTTTATTCCCAGACATAAAATAAAAAATTGTGAAACGATAGCAAGTAGGTGATTTTCTGTAGTACTTAATTTTTTTTCCATCCGTGTCATGCCATGTTTTTGAATCATATTCTTCGACAACTAAAAAGATGACGTTAAATATCAATATTCTTAGCTCATTTATATTTCGCGTATGCAGTAAATTATTTATTTGGGAATTCTAAAAAAAGGTGCATTAAACCATACACTTATATTACCAGTATACATATACATTACAAAGTTACATTTATTTTATAGGTTATGCGCATACACTATAAATAGATTTGTAGCATTCTATAACATTTTAGCCTGGTATAAAACAGTTGGCATATACTCCATCGATAAAAGTATTACATTTGAAAAAATAGTTATTTGTGTAACCAGGCCAAAATGTGTATATTTGTTGAATATTTTTATATATATTAATATATATTATTAATATATTTGTTGAATGAAACAAATATACCTTTTGCATACGTCGCAGATAAATTTACGGTTTTGCAACAAAATAATAACGTTTCATATTGACGGCTTGAAATAATTACAAAAATGCTCACTGTCTGACGCCATTGGCAAATATGAATGATAATAAGATAAAGAAAAAATATTTGTTCTTGACATTCGACAGTAATGATCTATGGAATACTAAATAATATTTAAGTATGTACCTCTAATGAGTATGTTGTTATGTATATTCAAATTACAAGGAGAAAATGTTATTTAAATCAAATTGGTAACACTTCCTCGAAATCTATTCGTTAAGTTTTTCTTGTTATGTTGAAAATTGGAAATGAACATATATGTAGCTAACGTTCAATTGAAGCCCTTACAAAATAATATTTGTCCTCAAAATGGTGCTCCAAAACTTTATAGTTAACAAGTTCTTCATAGCTCTGGAACACATCACAATAAATTTATGTCTGAAAATTAACTTTCATAAACATACATACATTGTAATTAATATGTGCGAATCTGTGATGCATTTTTTTTTTCGTGAAAGAAGAAATCATAATTACAAATTATGGCATTGACGATAGGCAAGCTGCGAATGACGGTACTTACCGATTCAGATCTTTCGGAAAGAAAACCAAGTCACACTTCTAGCTTTCTTGGAATAGTATCGACACGAAATTTACACAGAAATATTTCAAAAGATTTATACACCAAATACACACAGCAAAGGGGCTTTTATTTAGTAACGAGCAGTTGTCTCTTCTTTGTGCTAATTTTTCTCTTGCTGTACCGTAATCGTTAATAATACGGCTAGTTGAATTTAGGACGGAACCACAAGAGACGGCGTGTCAAGCGATGATTGAAAACAGATGCAGCTGGACCAGAGGGAAGGTGCTTGGAGGATCGAGCGTTTTGAATACCTTGCTGTACGTTAGAGGTAACAAACGCGATTTCGACCGATGGGCACACTTCGGCAACATCGGGTGGTCTTACGAGGAAGTACTGCCTTACTTTAAAAAAAGCGAAGACCAAAGGAACCCGTACTTAGCCAAGGACACGAGATTCCACGGAGTTGGTACTTACGACATTACATCACTTTGCTGTTTTCTCAACGAACTCGTATTGTAGGCGGGTACCAAACAGTCCAGGAGTGTCCGTACAACACTCCGCTAGGAGTCGCCTTTCTGGAAGCCGGTCAAGAGATGGGCTACGACGTCAGGGACATCAACGGCGAGAAACAAACGGGTTTTGCATTGTACCAAATGACGATGAGACGGGGGGCCAGATGTAGTGCCGCCAAGTCCTTCCTTAGACCCATAAGGCTAAGGAAAAATTTCCATTTGTCAATGTACAGCCACGTCACCAGGGTACTCATCGATCCGGTCACTAGACGCGCGTATGGCGTGGAGTTTATTAAAAATGGAGTCAAACAGGTTAGTTGTGGAGGAAATATGTTATGTTAGATTTGGTACTGTAAACTTTGTTTTTCATGTGTCACCCATAAACTGGACTGCACCCGTTCCTCCTATCCTCATGATTGTATACAGGGTCGTTCTCTATTATCTTTATTAGAACTAGGTCGATGACATTTGTAGTAAATCCAAGTGCACATCGCCTATTCAATTTCCACCCTTCCACTTCTGGGTACGTTGTCTGTGTGTGTATGTGTTTTGTGAAAAATGCTTGGGTTGGTATCAGCCCAATAATCACAGATGTTCACGTTTGTTCGAAAAACGCACATCAAATAGGAAACTATTCGTTCAGGCGTGTTTCGGATAACCCGAAAGTTATTTAATCGTTGACAATAGGATTTGCAACATTTATGCAAGAGTATCTTAAAACTTTAAATCAGATGTCTCAAGATCGCAACTCGAAGCTTAATCCATGCAAATCGTGCGTTATAATCCAAGAATGTAAATTTTCTAAAAAATAACTTAAATACAGAAATCGGTTATTCAAAATTAAATTTTGAATACTATTGTACCAAAAATATTGGCGTTATTTGACACAATAACGTTAGATTTAAAGAACATCTGAAGCAATATTTGAAACAATTTTTGTCTCAAATGGCAAATGGAAATTTTAAACTTTTTTGGTTAGAATGGTTTCATTTTTGGCAACAGTGGTCACAATGTTAAAATTAGAAATAACGTAAAATTAACTATGCTACATCATTACACTGCAATATTTCAACGCTTATTTTCCTATAACGCCGTAAACATCTCAACTCTTTCTACTCTACTAATTTTTAAAATGATTTTCGCAAACTAAGCAGGAATGTATAAGGAATTAAAATTAGGAGATCACTTAAGGCAATGAAGGTTTTGCTATGCTTTTTGCTTCAAAATTTGTTTTACCGACAACTGTTTTTTCGATTTTTTTGAAAAGTTCATCTTCAGGTATTATTTCAGTGCTGATTTTAATTTCAATTTGTTGTGTTTGTGCTATTTCTTTAAAATATTAGTTCCCTCATTTAAATACCGTTTAAAATTTACTATAGCAATTTGTGCCACATTAAATGGGAATAAAGCGGACAATATTCGGTAAGGTCAATGCCGGCAACCACAGAATGTTCGATAGTTACGATTCTACGACGTCCTATTTAAATTCTTGGGTTCAATGTTGAATATTTTTGAATATTAATAAAGTTATAAAAAATATTAGATAAAGAAAATGTTAAAAATCAATGTCGAATATATTGCTCAATTATGTGTTCGCGACTGCCAAACTTAGTAATGACCTAAATAATTATTTATTCGAATTTAATGAGTTAGAGAAATCTTTCGCGACATTTAACAAACGAATATCTACGTGCGATTCTTATGAGAAAGGACAAGGACAAATAAGTGCTTGGTAATCTTGCTTGTGCTTATGTTGCATTTAAATGATTAATAAAAAATTGCCTATAATGGTGACAGTTTTAATAGAAAAAAAAACTAACAGTACTTCCATATGTGCAGATAAATAAAGAACGAGTTCAGACAACGTAAACTAAAATACGATGAACTGATTCTTATAATTAAAATAAAACGAACAATGCCTTGTTCAAACTTTTTGTATTTTTAACAACTAACAAACTTTTGGTTCTTTTTTTCTAGTGCCTTCTATCGAAGGTTCATTTATTCTGTACTACCAAAAACTTGGGACCTCTCATACTATAACCAAGATATCCAAGGTTCTTTGTTTTCAGCGAAGTTATTATTTCTTTTCTTTTTACTATTCGGGTTTAGAGCCTGCATGTTGTTCACTCCTTTACTGCTATACCATCCACAAGTAGTTCCTAATAAAAAAGTACAAAAACAAAAAATACACTATGTGCACAGGGAACTTCTTCAGTCTGATATGTGAAAAATATGACCAGTAAAAATTGGCTACACATACCAGAAATGGATGTAGAAATCACACATATATTACACATTACATTACACATATATTTTCGCGTATTGATTCACGGATGGAAAAATGTGATGACACTATATTCCGGGATATCATCCGTTCGCTTGTTGATTGTTTCGAAGTGTTTTCGGAGCGCGAGCATTGAAGATGCCAAGTGAGATTTTGGCAAAACGTCTGCAGGATTCCAGTCGGAGTTTAACGAGCGAACGGATGATATCCCGGAATATAGTGTCATCATATATATATATATATATATATATATATATATATATATATATATATATATATATATATATATATATATATATATATATATATATATATATATATATATATATATATATATAAATTTGAAAAAGACATGTTGATGACAAAAATAACAATTTAAACAATTTTAAATAGAACCTACATGGTTTATTATAATTTTATTTTATAATTAAAAACTAGTTTAACTTTTATTTACAGTTTTATATATTTCAGGTTCATTTAAGGACAAACAAGTGTCAAAAATAGACAAGAAATATTTGTACAAAAATTGAAAAAAATTCTCACGTCATATTTGTTAATTTCACAAACACATCCGCGGCTGTATTTTATAAAACTTTCTACTTATTGAGTCAAATCAAAATGGACTATCAAAATATCAAATCGAGCTAAACATCTCAAAATATTTTGTTTTGTTAAAATTAAAAATACCTTAAAAAATGCATTTTCTACTTTCCAATAATTTTATATTTTTCTATTTAAATCGATTTCAACATATGATATTAGCTTAGCTTAGCTCAAAGTAAGAAAAGAAAACCATTCTCAATGGAACATTTTCGAGCTCCGGAATGTTCCCTGCGACTCTCTACTTATAATATATATATATATATATATATATATATATATATATATATATATATATATATATATATATATATATATATATATATATATATATATATATATATATATATATATATATATATATATATATATATATATATATATATATATATATATATATATATATATATATATATATATATATATATATATATATATATATATATATATATATATATATATATATATATATATATATATATAAAACTTCACAAAGTTATTCAAATCAAATATTCAGACATCATTCTGCACTCAGAGTAAACATTGGAAGCACATATATTGTTATTCCTATGAAATAATTTATTATTTATAGTTTATTAAACGGTGTCACTTAAAACCTACAGAAATTGCTTGATATGCTTTTTATTTATTATATGTTAATAATATATCTTTTTATTTTCTATAGAAGACTCATCAAACTCTCTACTAATTAGATGTGCTAGTATGTATAATAACTGCCTTTTTGCTGCACATTTTACCAAACGTGTTAATTACTATAGTTTTTCCACGACCGTTAGCTTGTGGGTACATTTTTGCAATTCGATACGAACATTCACTGTCATGGCCGTCAGAATTGACAAACGTCAAAATTCCATCGGTAGGAAATATCTCCGAAAACATACGATTGCTGCTAAACTCGTGCGGTAATATCCCGGAAATATCCGAAATGACGAAGTAAAATGACACTCTCCGTACGCTAGATCAGCAGATAATTGGGTATTTTGAGAAAGGAGTAGAAAAATAACGTTAAACCTTTCATATTTTCCTATTTTCTATTTTCTATGCAATTTTCATTTAATTTAAATTTGAAAACAAATAAATAAACGAACGCTATCGTTGTTCTGTTTTGCAGTATTTACAGTATTGTAAAAACGGATTGGGAGCGATCAAAAATTTCGGGTAGATAAATAAAACACCGGTGGTTTGTCAGTTATGGTGATTCTGCATTCACCACGTCGCTCATGCGAAGACGATCTTAGGACAACTACTTCAGACACTCGTGACGCAAACTCGTTTAACAAATATTCTAAGCAGCGATTTTAAATGCGATATTCTCCTATTTGATTAATTGTCCCAGAGAGTGCTGGCCAGAAAAGAAGTCATTCTCTCAGCAGGAGCGATCAACAGTCCTCAAATCCTCATGCTCAGTGGTATCGGTCCGCAAGAGCACCTTCGCGAGGTTGGCATTAAGGTGGTGCACGATTCGCCGGGGGTGGGTCAAAATCTCCAAGACCACATCGCAGCGCCTCTAAGTTTCCTTATCGATCATCCCATATCTCTGGTAATCCGATTCCAAATCAACGGCGATGTTTTTTTCAAGCTGTTACTTTCAGCTGCTCAACAGATTGGTCAATCTTAATACCGCACTCAGATATGCTGTCAAGGAGGACGGGCCGCTAACTTCTTCGATTGGTTTGGAAGCTGTAGGGTTTATACCGACCAAGTACGCTAACCGATCTGACGACTGGCCTGATATGGAGTACATGCTTGTCAGTACCAGCACTCCTGCCGACGGAGGTAATATTAATATCACCTGCATCTATATTTGGATATCATATCTGTGTTCCAGGGACCCAAATCAAAAAAGCCCACGGTTTGACGGACGAATACTACAAGGAAGTCTTCTCGGATGTCAACTTCAAAGACACTTTTGCTGTTTACCCGATGATGCTGCGTCCAAAGTCACGAGGCTACATCAAGCTGCGGTCTAATAATCCTCTCGAGTACCCGCTACTGTACCACAACTATCTCACTCATCCGCACGACGTAAATGTGCTCAGAGAAGGAGTAAAGGCCGGGTTGGCATACGCCCAAACCGAAGCGCTAAAGAGATTCGGTTCTAGGTTGCATGAAAAGCAAAACAGAGTGCCGAATTGTAAACACTTACCGCCATATACTGACGAGTACTGGAATTGTTTCATTCGGCAGTACACGTTGTCGATTTATCACTATTCTTGTACCGCCAAAATGGGTCCGCAAAGCGACCCTTATGCGGTGTTAGATCCTCAATTGAGAGTGTATGGGGTGGCTGGATTGAGGGTGATCGATGCTTCCATCATGCCCACCATAACGAATGGGAACATCCAGGCTCCGGTGATGATGATTGGAGAAAGAGGTTCGGATTTCGTGAAAGATTACTGGCTCAAAGGTCGAAACAGACGGAAGAGACGAAGTTTAGGAGTTAAATACCAAGCTAGTGTAGTGGATGACGGTAGTCAGAGTAGGGTGGTATTATAGCAGTAATAAATTTGTATATAGGTAATTCTTAAGCCAACCGGAATATGGCCATATTTAATTGTTAAATTTTAAAAATAAAAACTCACACTGAATCAATATTTTGCTCAAGATGTGTGTAAATAGTTTTTGTTTATTGTTAATAAACCTGTTGACGTGACGTTTGCTATTATTTTCACTGATTAGTGTTTACTAAGTTTGAAGTTATAAAGAAGAGAGCAACACTTTGGTCGAAGACTTTTCTATATTGTTAAAGTGGGACTATTTATTATTAAGTAAACAAAAAAACTGACAGTTTCGTCCTATGAATTGGTGTAAAATTCTAGTGCTAAATTAAAATCATATCCTGCAGAGCTACAAAGCTGAAAACCGGAGCGGAGGTAGATGGAACGCGGATCAAACCACTGAAAAGATTTTGGTATGGTTTGGTTGGTTAGATGTTGGAGTTTCTTATGTAGACTCTTGTTCACCTATGTCATGTCATTCATTCTATTTATTGTTGTTTTTCCACCAACAACTCTTCGTGCGTAAAATGAAACTTTCAGATCAAGACCCTGTAGAGCAAATGTACCCAAAAACGAATAGTCGCAGAGAAAGTATAGTATATAAGACCCTGAAAAACTCCTTGAATCATTCGTTGATTTAGCGCTCGTTTCACCCGTGCCAAACCAAATTTGTGCCTAAAGTAGGGTTTATCAAACATAATATACTCTCAGAAAGATCTGAAGTTTTTTTTTTAACAAAAAATGAAATATTTATTTTCGGTAAAATATTTTTACGACTATCAGTTAAGAAACAGGTTCCTCCAAATAGACTAGAATACCACAATTGTTCTTGTTTTTAAAAAACACCAACACAACAACGAGAGGGATAATTATTAATTTGCATTTAAAATAATATATCTTTATTATTTTTTATATAAATTTAACTAAAAATTTGAAATTTCACAGAACAAATCATTAATTTTATTATTTATAACGCAAAAAATATATATTACATTTGTCTAATCTTTAAACACCGACATTTCCGTTATAGGGACGAATGTCCAAACCCTAATAATTACTTCACAATTTTAAAAGTGAAGAAACAAAACACCGATTGTCATTATCGCTAAACACGTTGGCCTAATTAAACGACTAGTAAAAGGCTACGTTCTTCTTATTGTTGCAATGTCTTGGTATTTACGCGTTTTGGACCTCAATGGAGAGCTTTTCTTTCCGAAGGGTGTAACATAAATTGCATTTCACGGATAGCGGAATTCAAAACGTAGGTATAATCTGAATCTTCATCGTGCGTCTGGTAGGTAGGACAGAACATTAGGAACGGACTTTCAAAAGTTTTGGAAATAATATATATATTTTTTTGTTTATTAAGGTGGTTATAATCGCATTAAATTACACTGGGAAAAAACAATGACAATGAAATATATAAAATAAATTACTGACTAGGAATATCTATACATAACTACAGTTTTATTCTAAATGTCTAAATCTGATTCTGTTTCACTATCAGTCACTATGTCGATTTGTATAGAAATGTAAGAGTCCTCAATTTTAATAATGTGCTGTACTGTTTTTTTCCAGCGCTCAATTGGTATGTTACTAACAACATTTTTTATCAAATTTATAACACTGGGGATTAAAGTAGGAGTAACATTTTCTGCTCTGACTTTTGATTTTACTTGATTCCACAAATGCTCTATGGGGTTAAACAAGCAATGATATGGAGGAAGAAGTAAAACAGTATGCCTAGTCAAATTACCGCATTCATATTGATTTTTAATTGCACATGAATTTAGGAGTTTAATTAATATCATTTGATGATGATGGTGTTTTGAGCAACAGGGGGTTGTGGTAGCTTGCGTTATCACTATTAATAACACTGTTATTGGGAATTTTTTTTAATAGATTGATTGGAAACCAATTTTCAAAAAGTTTGGCACTTGTATCCTTATGATAATCCAAGCTAAAAGCCCTAATATTCTTTGCAGACAGCAGCAAGTGGTTTGGGACAAATCCGCCTTGTGACCCAGCGTGTATTAGTGATGCGTTTTCCTTTATTTGAAGGTGCTTTCGTGTGACAATTTTGAGTGGAATCAACCTATCCTGTGGATACCGTGTGATTTGTATCGAACAATGTCTTATCAAGGTAATTATGGATCTATTGTCTATATATTTTAATTTCTTGAAGGTTATTATATCTTAAAGTCCGTAATCTGTGTGATTCCATTACTTCGTGCCTTTTGTTTATTTTGTGGAACTTAAATCCCATTTTATAAACAACTCTATTTAGGATTTCAAGACTTATAATATTTATATTGGTTTCATCTTCCTTTAACTTCTTTGTCAGTTTATCGAAGGTATGAACTTTGTTTTGATCAAGACAATATATTTTCAATCGTATTAGGTGCTCTTCGATTCTCCACTGTTTTGCATATTTCTTATAGACGGTATTGGCGTTTTTGGCTTCATACACATTTTTCACAACCTGTTTTGCATGAATCCACAGTAAAAACGATCACTCAACACTGCCACAAATGGCCAACGCTCAAGAAATATATCAGAAAGAAATATACCTGGCCTACCCCTGCCTGGTGACTAAAGTAAGGATAATTTTTTTGGTTGTTCATAATTCCGGGGTCAATCTGCTTGCGTGCTTATCCAGTTTTTGTTTCCCACATGTGTTCAACAGACTTAACTCGGGTGATCGCATAAACCTCTAGTATTTTGGGTTCTGTAATAATGAAAGTACAGTGCTTTCAATTTAACTTTGATTGCCTGTTAGCTAATAAAGACATAAAATCTAAAAAACTAATAAAGATATCAAGGTAACAAGATGATCAAAATTTTGCTACACGAGAGAGCTATAACAGACAAAATAAACCATACTGGTCTATAAATAATCCTAGACAAATATTTGAAATAAAACACTATTCCTGCTCTAAAATACCCAATTTTACACCAATTTAGCGTGCGGAAACTGTAATTTTTTCCTATGGTTGCGGGTCAATTGGGACATTTCCGGGATATTACCCCACGGGATTGGAAGCAATGGTATGTTTTCGGAGATATAATTTTGACGTGTCTCAATTCAGACAACCATGTCAGCAAATGTATTCGTACTGTTCTGCAAAAATATGCACAAATCTAATCGCCGTAGAAAAAGTATAGTATGTAACGTTTGGTGGAGTTTTTAAGTCACTCGCTCCATTCCTACCAAAACCGTGACTCAAATGCCGTTTACCACACTTGTTGCATAATATACTATTAATTAATTCTTATTGTCGCAAATCTGAAAATAACTCTTATCTTTATTTTAAAAACAAACACAATAAAATATAAGTTTTATATATTTGTAATCGCAATAACGTGGTATATTACCTATAAACTATATAAGGCGTTTCATTAAAGAAAAAGGTTGATATTGACTTGCAAAAAAGTTGCAGTCAATGAAAATGTTATCAAAATAAATTGACCTCACGGTACGTTCGTCCTGACTGTCTTCGAGGTAAAATGAATTTTGTACTCAAAAACGTGACCTACCTTTGCTTTTCGGAAAATTTTAAGTAACTCCAAAAGACGCAAAAGTAGCATTAAACCGAATCACTTCAGGACCCACGTTTGTAGCAACTTTTATTCATATTTTTAGATGTTTGGATGACGGACGAAACAAAGATGTAGAAGAAAGAACAAAACACAAAAACAGAAACTCACAGAGATACAGAGAAATTGACAAAGACATTCAGAGGAGAGTTAGAAGGGCGAAACAACAGTGGATGAATGAAAAAAAATAGCAGGAAATTGAGGTGCTGTACACAAGAAAATAAAGGGGGTGACGGGGAGAAATAAGAAACCTGCCACGTATTCCCTACTTGACGATAGCAATCAGGCAATCATAGATGTCAAAGACCTTAAGAGACACTGGAAATAGAGCAGTTGTTCAAAACCCCAGAACCACGTCAGTTCGACGTAACCAGAAAGCTGGAGAGCCTTCCAAAATATGAAAAGAAGAAGTTCTGAGAGCAATAAAATACAGCAAAAGCGGAAAATCCCATGGACCAGATCAAATTCATATAGAGTTATCAATACTTTTAGAAGATACATTGGTTCGGCTTTTCAACGAAATCTATTCATTGAACTGAGGTGGCTTTTACTTGATGAAAATCCATTTATCAAAATAAATAAGAACTGAAAGTTCAGATTTTCACGAAAATATATATTTGACATGACAATTGTTTCGACAACAATGTGTCTTTATCAAATGTCATATTTACAAACTACCTGCTACTATATATACAGAAAAATGACCAATTAATGTTGTTGTGAGAATTTAAGTTCAATAAAGAAGAGGTATTTAAATTTAATTGATCGTTAAGCAATAGATTTGAATGTCTCATTTTGTTAATCTCCATGGCTTCCAATAAATTTAATTTTTTAATTTTTGTGGCTGTATGTATGTTAAATATCAAAATTATCGTCAAAAATGTGTTTTTCTATGTTTAAGTGTGTAGCATAATAAGAATCTAGACTATTGTTTTTAAACGCTCTTTTATGTTCGTTAATGCGTTTCTTGAAGGATCTACCTGTTTGTCCAATATAAATTTTAGGACAAGATCCGCATTTCAACCTGTAGGCACCTGATTTTTGGGATTTTCGACATTTCGTTTTAATGTTTTTTAAATATTTTCCTATTGTGTTGTTAGTTCTGAAAGCTATTTTTAAACCACATTTTGACAAATGTTTTGAAACTTTTGCACTAGGTTCTCCTATGTATGTAATTGTTTTAAATTGTTCGTGTTCTGTATTAGGTTTCGGATAAATAGAGTTGTCTGTATTTGTTTTTTATTTATAATTTTATCTCTAATGGACGGATTGTAGCCGTTGTTCAGTGCAATTTGTTTAATGATATTAAGTTCTTTGTTGTAATTTTCTGTTGAGAGTGGCGTATTAAGAAGTCTGTGTACAAAAGAGTTAAATGCAGCCATTTTGTGTGTCAAACAGCTGTAGTAAAATATAATAGCAACCGAACCAGCAACCATATAAAAAGGTGTTCGACAGGGGTATATTTTATCCCCAATGCTTTACTCGGGACGCATTTTTGAAGAGGCAATTAAAAGACAATGTGCTTAGCAACCTCAGATATGCTGATGATACCTCGGTATTAGCGGATAGCCCAGAAGCTCCGCAACACTTGCTAAATCAACTTATCGCAGTCGGAGATCGTTACGGCCATAAAATAAATACCACTAAAACTAAAATACTAAACTAACTAAACTAACCAAAACTAATCAACAACAACTTACATCCAGAAATAGAAATCAGGACCAGAATTGAGCAGGCAAGAGCCATCTTTAACCTGATGCGGTTATTCCAGTGTAATTTCACCCTAAGCCTGTGTGAACAGTCAGTTTTTTTGTACGGCCGTAAAGCATGGGCTCTAAAGGTCAACGCCACTAACAAAATAGGAGCATTTGAGAGTCCATTGCGAAAGAGAATTGATGCACATAGTTAAAAAATGAAAGACAGTCTATCTGGTCAAATAATGCGTGGAAGTAGACATGACATCCTGAAATTGATAATGGAAAGGAAAATTGAGGGCAAGCGGGGCCTAGGAAGAAAGAAGCATTTGTGGCTAAAGAACGTCAGAGATTCAACATGTTCAATCACTATTTCGAATTGCCGAGGTTGTTGCCAAACTTCAATGTTGAAGACGGCACTCTATGAAGAAGAAGAATATCTAGAATTTGCCGCAACATTCTGTGATACCCTGTATACGCATTTAATAATCATTTAACAATTCAATAAGACTTTCGTTCCTTTTAAATAATAATTCTGTCTCGAAAACGGTTCGCATTGTTTAGCGTCTTTAATTGCGTGATATCGTTAACGACGACATTATGAAAAAAATAACGTAACTCTCATTTTGACTTTTAAACAGGAGTCGCTTAAAATTCGCGGATACTTTCTCTCGCGCAGACAGGTGCGATGCCTCGGAGAAATGGCTAATCTTTGTTTCTATTATATTAGTTACAAAGGTGATTAAATGTTTAGTTATCCTCTACTCTTCCGCGTAAGAAGTTTTGACTGTGCGAGGGAGCTTTTACAGGTAAGGGCTTTTTTTCACGATGATTTTATTTTTATATGACGTTAATTAAGTAAACCGTATTCATGTTTTCATTTTTCTATTTTTAGTTTTGATTAGTACATCATCTCGTTTTAATTTTAAATTTGTTTTTAAGTGACCCTTAATTGTAAAAATGTAAATTTAAATAAGAGGAAAAAAAGACAGAAAAGAATCACTAATTTAGTTTTATATTGTTTAATTAATATGCTTACTGTTATATAACAGTACACATATCTGGTTTTGTCCGCAAGTCTGTTGTGTTGTCTTTTCACTAGGAAAGGGGAAAGTACAGCAAAATTAAGAAAAAGCTTATTATATCTTATTACCATTAAAAAAAAAATATTATTATTATTATTATTTTAAATGTATCTTTCTGTGACTTCCCAACGAAAAGGCAAACTTAGGGACGAGTTTCTAAGTAATTTGGTTTGACAAATAGCATGACCGCTAGCGGTTGTCCAGGTGCGAGGTATTCAACTTCCTCCATAGAAAAAATTAGAACGGGGTGGTGGTGAGACTATTTCCTGAATGCTCGTAATTAAAAAATCATGTCAACATTTCAGAACGATGGGGTGTTTTTGGTGGATTTTAGTCACGTTCTTTTGACGTTTGTCAATTTGAACGTCACGTCACACGGCATTCAGTTTGTGATTGGTTCAAATTGAAAGTAACTTACTGCATAAAAGTCACCGATTGCGTTGTTATTCTCAGATGTACCGTGCTTAATTAGAATGATGATTAGAAAAATTCAAAATTGCAATTGCATTTGGGCTCTTAAGATGGATGGATGGATCCTTAAGAAGATAGACAAAAAATCCGTGCGACATTTGTGTTTTTTTTTAGAACAATTATATTATATTGATTTTTATTTAGTAGCCACTGTTTTAACTTTCTAATGATGTACTACATGTAATACTTAACTTAACTTAATGTAACATTCAAAAATTAATAAAATCTGGAATTAGGGGGGTTAAAATTCCACAAAAAAGCATTGATTATTGAGGATAATTTCTTAAGGGGTGCACTTACCAAATACAATTTTTTCTGGAAATTTTTTTAACGGAAAATTATCGAGGTCATCGACATGCAGCTTTTCCTTGATTTAAGCTACCCTGTATATCTTATCGTTTCGTAGACTCGGTAAAAGTCATATTTGGTAAAGCCCAACTGTGTACTTATAAAAGTATGACAAAACTGTAATATCTTTCTCAGGTTTTGTAAAAATATTCTCTGACGTTCCCTGTTTATCGAAAACAACTACATATTTTATTTCGAAATAAATATCCGAGCAAATATTGTAATAAGATGTAACTATGCCGAATGTTACAATGATAAGTAACTATGATTAATGTAACATTCAAAAATTAATAAAATCTGGAATTAGGGGGGTTAAAATTCCACAAAAAAGCATTGATTATTGAGTATAATTTCTTAAGAGGTGCACTTACCAAACACAATTTTTTCTGGAAATTTTTTTAACGGAAAATTATCGAAGTTATCGACATGCAACTCTTCCTTGATTTGAGCTACCCTGTATATCTTATCGTTTCGTAGAGCCCAGTGGTGAAAGTCATATTTAGTAAAGCCCAACTGTGTACTTCTAAAAGTATGACAAAACTGTAATATCTTTCTCAGGTTTTGTAAATATATTCTCTGACGTTCCCTGTTTATCGAAAACAACTACATATTTTATTTCGAAATAAATAAATATCCGAGCAAATATTGTAATAAGATGTAACTATGCCGAATGTTACAATGATAAGTAGCTATGAAAATAAATAAAATAAAAAAAATAAAATCTGGAATTAGGGGGGTTAAAATTCGACAAAAAAGCATTTATTATTGAGTATAATTTCTTAAGGGGTGCACTTACGAAACACAGTTTTTTCTGAACAAAAAACCCCTGATAAATGTTCAATTGTATTCTAAGCTTTCATAATTATCCGGGAATTTATACCAAAACAAAACGACCGGCAATATCCGATTATCTTCATAATTTCTTCGTTATTAAATAACGAGGCAGTTCCTAGTCGTTATGATTATTAAGTTTTCATACACACGTATAGTGAGTGAAAGTAAAAATTCAGCGTCGCGTCTAGAATTCGCGATTAAAGAAGAAATCTGAAAATGAAGCAATCGATTCGGAATCGACCAAGGTCGATACGGATATCGCATGAGACACTTGCTTACTTACTAGATTTATTTGTTGGAAAGTTCTCGAAATGGTCAATGGTAACGCGAAGAACTTGTTCCATTTTAATTAAGTGGCATAGATTACTGACTCGAGAATAAATAACTAATAAAATAATACAACAAAAATATTTTCGAAAATACATATCTTGTGAGTGAGTTACGTCAAAGTCTTCAATGCTGATCTAAATATCGATAATCCGAGATTTTGTATCCGAATCACCTTCATTATTTAAAACGCTGAGCGAGTTGTAGTAGATTTTTAGGTTATTTTCCGAAGAAAAATAGCAATAATGTCAGTACTAGAACCTGCCTTTCATAGTATATCAGACGACATGTTTGATAAACTTCGTTATCATCATTTTGTTTTGACTAGTTTTGTAGTCGCTTTGTTTATAGTACTATTGAATAGGCACTGCAGGTCCTTTTAATTTTACTAACTAGGATTTTTTTGTCTGTTCATTTAATAAAAAATGGCACTCTTAGCGAGTGTTGAGTAAACTTCTTTAGTAACTAATTTATTAAACTAGTGACTAAAAGGACGTTTATCAAACTATTACCTTTAATTTACACTTGCACCTTTTTTTTTATTTGCACCCCCGCCAAATATATTTGAAAAAGACCCACAATTTTTGTATGACGTCATATTTAAAAGTATTTCGGTAAAGATTAAGTCCCTATTTAGTTAAAAGGATTTAGGGTGTTTTGCCTCAAATTTAATATTCATGCAAGGTGTCACACGGTGAACACCGCGAAACTTTGAAACTTTCACGTTAAAATTACAAAAATAAATATACAAGGTATATTTTGAAGTTATAACGTATGAAACTTTTTGCAAAATGGATCAGAAAACAATTATAAAAAAGATCAAGTAATCGAATAGAAGAACGAGAAAATTAATATGGACATTATATTTTTCGGACAAACTCGAAGAGTTAGGATGCTTGGCAATAGGCCCCGTACTCGTTGTTGAATGTCTGAACACTTGAACCTTTTAAGATTAAATGTGTAAGATTCATGTTTGTTAAATTATACAAAAAGGTTATTCTAACTTAAGGAACTTATACAAAAACAAACATATTCTTAATATAAACTTAAAAAAAATCATTGTTTGAAGCGTTGGTGTTGTATCATATAATTAAAGCCAAACTGCAAAGAGGGCAAAAGCTGAAAAACTTCTCCTAGCCTCCCATTTACATAAGATGCTCAAAACTGGATACCCGGAATATTTTATGCGAAAAATTACCACCCGGAACACTGTCCATAATCGTTGTACACGTTCTACCAATCTTTATGGGATACGAACAATGCACAAAGCTATGTGTCAGAATTCAAAGCTATGTGTCAGATAAGCCTGCTCATCTAGGGTGTCTTTTAAACAAAAATTTTAAATTGGAAATTATATAATAAGTTATACTCTTGTTAAATGTAGATTAACTTTGTCAATTTTATTGCTTTAATTATTGTTCTACAATTTTAATTTTTATTTTTGTCTACTTCAACAGTTTTTTCCTTTTTATAAGTTTATTTATGGAAAATTTTTTACATGCTCGGTTAGCTGTGCTTCGCAGAATAAAAAATAAAGGCGTTTTTAGTTATTTATTTATATTAAACTTGAATTATGTAAATTGGTGGTGTAGGACATCCTCTGACACAAGTACGGTGGACACTAACACCAAATAGTTTTGGTGTTATGTTTCATAGCACCTTTAAATTTAAGAGTTACAGGTCATATTTTCCAATGTCCTAAGCAAATCTAAAACAGGATTTTTGAATTATTCCAACGAATTGAAAATTTATTTCAACTACATCGATCCTACATTTGTGTCGCCCCGTATAAAATTAGTACCTCGTGTCTGCCGACACGTTGCGTTCGCGTTGAAGACGGCCGAAGAAAATTTCACCGGCCAAGTGAAAGAAGTCGGCGGCGGCCTTTCTTCGAACTTATTATTGTCGGATCAAAGTTGGTATTGAACGCGGGCGCGTCGCCGTTTCGCTTTTTCTGAAGATCTCTGCGAGTATTCTTTGCGTGTGTAGGATCGATTTCGTGTTGATGGCGAGCAAAATGATCAGGAAGAAGATTTCGCGATTTTTGCGCGGGGTAAGTTTGCATAAAGCACAGGCAATTAATAACACTAATAATAACATTACTTTTGCTGCAAAAGCTATGTTAACCTATTTTCCTCATCGAATCTAACCTTATGCTAACATTATAAGGGACATAAGCAGATAGACTTACATAAAAAAACAGTTATTAAAAAATAAAAGATATAAAAATGACGAGACGATATTACTTCTTATTAAATTTAAACCTACTGAGACTTTCTGAGCTACTTGTCAAAAAAAATTTGGCAGTTATATATATTATATAACCGTTCAGAAAAATGTTAGCGAGAAGGCTCTAGAGTCTACAATAGCATCGAACCTAGGAGCGCATTATTATACTGCACGACTATTAATTGAAGAAGAGAAGAAATTAGAAAAAAAGGATGTTGTGATAAGTATATTGCCAAGCACATTTTGTAACTGCTTGAAACATGATTGAGCGGCAGTTTGCCCCAAGGGGAACAATCGGAGGAAAAGTAGACCCAAACCCAAATCGACGATCAAGTTGCCATAGGAATTTAAACAGAACACTAGAGATAAATGAAAATAGCTACTGAATAATTAAATTAATTATTCTAAAAGTAAATTTTGTTTGTAAGTAAATTAGATTTTATTTATTTTGTGTACGCAGATAGCCCTAATTCCCTCATCTGACTGGCATATTTTTATCGTATCGTTATATCTTG